AAAACAAACAACGCATGCCATGGGAATGGAATGAGGAAGTGACCACCATGGGATGCGGTAGAATTAAAGTTGCTGTGATAAACAGTGCACTTATCTGAGTTATAGTTAAACAAAAACATCCATCCATCCATTTTCTACCCTTTAATCCATTTCTGGGTCAGGGGGGTGGCAGTCAGAGATGCCACCCAAGTCTCATAGCACCAGCCCCTCACTGACCCTCTGCAGGTGGTGAGTCCACAGGAGGACGGCTGCTCTCTGAGTGTGAGCATAGCCTTGATCTTTCAGTGGGGGCTTTGGGCAAAGTGGGGTTAAGTGTCTTGCCCAAGGACACAACGACAGCAGTCATCAGTGGAGAAGGTGTAGAGCTGGGAATTGAACCCACAACCTTCAGGCCTGAAGGCCAATGCTCTACCAACTGAGCTACTGTCGCCCCGACAGTAGCAAAACATGTTTTGAAACAAAAACATTTCAATTCAATTAGATGTATTTTTGCATTGCTCTAAATCACAACAGCAGTCGTCTTCAAGGACTTTACAAAGTTGTCGATTCACCAACAGCAGATCAGAGGATTAAGCATTTCTTTCTGTTGTGATGGCATCCCTGTAGTCCAAATAATGGTTTTGCAGTTTATGTCGCTGTCTTTAAGAAGACATGTGTCAAGTTGACATTAGCTTTGTTGCCAACTTTCAAAATGCTTTACTCCTTCCCTGGCTGTGCGCCCTCACACCAAGACTGTGCACCACTCCGGATTATTGAGGCCGATCAACAACATCAATTATTACAGTTTTAACATAATTGTATTCCCCTTTTTCATCACGTGTTGTTTTGAGGCTTGTATTGTGAATGCCTCATGCTTGGGATACCCTAGGAAAAAAGATCGTTGAATCTTTTGCGATTAAATAACAGATAAAGGGTTATAATAAGAGTGATTTATTGTTTGGGATGAAAAAGCTGATCCAAAGATGTGACAGAGGCCAAAAAACATGCATGCAACCAGAGTAAGGAATGAGTTGGATGGATTTTATTACTTAATTCCATTTTCTGGAGTTACCTTTGTGGCACAACATGCACGAGCAAAACAGGGAAACTACAATTGGATTCCAAAATTAGATAATTGTGTAGTTCTAGACCAGGGGTGCTCACACTTTTTCAGCATGCGAGCTACTTATAAAAGGATCAAGTCAAAATGATCTACCTACTACAAAAATGCAAATCATATATTTATTTCAAAAAATATTCTTTATATCGACAATGTATGTTTATGTACATGCAAAACCGCATGAGCCAATATAGCACAACAAAACACAATTACCTATGTACATTTTTTGTCATTACCCGAGTTTACTCTTATGACTTGTACTGAATTGAATCGGCCAGGGAGGCATAGTCCGGAAAATTGGTGGTAACTCGCTGACAAGTTTGTCGTGGTTTAGCTTTCCTGCACTGAGCGCGGTTGTTTGCGCATGTGCAGTCACCTAAGTGTCAGTAAAACATTACTGAGTAAAACACAGATGTCATTTGACTGTGGTGCCATGTCCATGTGCCATGCCTGTTTTTTTTAAATCCAAATATTTCCCCTCCTCAGTTTATAAAATAATTTGCATCCACACATCTGCGTTATCAATCACATTTGTAACATTCCAAAATGTGCGTCTCTTACGTCCTGTCCTCATGGATCTATTATATTAACTGGATAGGGTATTACTAGCTTGTAGCTGAATAACTCATGTGCTCAGGGGATTCTCGCGGTACTGCAGACTGAACCAGACTAAATTCACGCGGGCTACCCAGAAATTTTCCCCATAGAACTCAATGCATATTAAAACAGCTCAACCTCAGCTGACAGAGAACCTACAGCTTTAATAAAGATCGGATTTTGTGGGGATGTAAGTGTCCCTTGTCATCCTGAACTTTTTTTCTTCTTAAATCCTTCGGTTTTGTTTAAATCCACACTTTAGTGCCACAAACTCTGCTCCTCTGGCTCTCGCTCTAACTCCCGCTCTGAGGAACTGCTCTGATTGGTCAGAGCGCGGCCGAGCCCCTCTGTGCACGTGCGTGAGACCTGGTGTGAGACCCACACACGCGTGTTTGGCGCAATGCATTATGGGAGATCATCCACCGCGCAGAACCGGGAGGACCAGACGATGCCCAAATACAGGCGAGTTTCCCATAGATCTTTGCGAGTTTCAGGCAACTTCCGCTAATCTTTCAGCCCCCATGCTGTCACAAAGCGCCACTGAGCACAACCATTCATTTGAATAGGGCGCCATCTTGGATCGCCGGGGCTTGCCTGTCCTACGTTGGGGAAAAACACGGAAGTGGGCGGAGCTTTGATGCAGACGCCGGTAACGTCACTTTTACAGTCATAGAAGACACTCAGAGTAAAGACGTATGTTTACAAGCACTGACCCCGTCCTCAGCCCTGGTTTAGTCCTGGTTTAGCCCTGGTTTAGCCCTGGTTTAGTCCTGGTTTGGTTGTTTTCGAGCGTGAGTCCCTGCGATCACTTTGCTGCTCTCTGATGTGGAGCGAGGATGTTTGCTGCTGCGAGCATCTCACAGCGAACAGTTTTTAAGGTAGTATGATCCATGCTTCAGTGATCAGAGGAATTTAGGGGGGTACTGTGGCGTGCGAGAACGCAAAACTCCGGTTATCTCTGTCTACACACAAATGCATTAACGGAGTTTTCAAAAATCTCCACTTTGCCCGGAGTTTTTTGTATATATTCGTTTAGAATGTGTATTTTTTTATTTATTTAATGCGATCTACCAATACTACCTTTGCGATCGACTGGTAGATCGCGATCGACGTATTGAGCACCCCTGTTCTAGACCCTGCTACATTCGAGCAGAAAACAGACGGGACAAACTCGCGAGACAAAATCCCTCACTGTTTTCTGATACATGCGAAATACCAGAAGTGACAGAAAGCCCATACGCACATCTCTGCTTTCACTTTTTTAATTAAAAGACATCCCAGGCAGGTAGACAGGTGTAATAAATGCCATCTTAACAAAACACTAGCGTCATTGTGCATCTGCAATACAGCCCGTGGAGGCTTAAGAGCATAGACACCACTCAGATGAACTGTACAGAGACATGGTTCAGCTAAGGGCTAGCACACCGGCGCCTTATCAGCCGGCTGCCACTGCACAAGCCCCATACAATGTGCTCGCCATTACAGCCATTTACAACACTCTCTGGTCGTCATTGTGCATTGAAAACACTGACCCCCTATTTACCCCGGTTGCCAGCAATTACGCCATCACATTCTACTCCAAAGAGAGCGTCACGAGTTATGGCCGTAATCGAGCGCTATAACTCACTGGACAGACAAGCATGGGGGGGGGGGCGTTTTGTGTTTATCAGGGCCAAAGCAGAACAAGTTGTCAATATAATATACGCGGTGACACATGTGGGGTAAGCGGGGGGCAAGGTTGCACTCGTAGAGATGGAGATATTGAGAGCGTTGGGATTGAATGGTTAAATGCGACCGGGAGGCAGGGGGGGAGAGGTCGTACGACGGACAGGTGGAAGCGGCGAGGTGTGAGACGCAAAGACGAATGCGCTTGGGAGGTTTTTGTTCTGGAACGACAAGTCTGTGATTGTTGAGAATGACAGACAACAAGGAGTTACTGTGCGCTCGCCAGCATGTGACATCATACATCAAGGCGACAAGTTCACAAGCAAAGCACGGTCGCGGAAAATTGACCTTTTGATTGCATAAAAACAATGAAAGCAATTATCGAGATTTGGGGAAACACCAAGACAGAGAATCAGCTGTTGAAAGTTAGCATTGTTGCCAAAAGAGAACATTTATTTAGAGCTTAAAATAATTAGCTAATTAGACAGGAAGATTTATAGTTCTTGCAACTTGAAGTCAGACCGAGCGCAGTTTGTCCACTCACTAAATAGGAACCTACGAGATTACTATAATTAACTGCATTGTTAAAAATACATGACCTTCGCACTGCAACCAATACACCATATTATCCATACTCTTGGCATAGATCTAATATATATTGACACGAAACTATGCAGCACAGCAAAAAGTAATGGCCTTGTGATGGAGATGATGATTCTGGTGATGACATGGCAGATGGCCAGAGCTGAGGCGAGCAGAGTCCCGGCCAAACGTGGACGGACGCACTTTGTCTTATAAGTTCACTGCGTTTGGATATTAGACAATGCTCTGTCAACATACGGAACAAGGGGCACTGAGGATGACTGAGGATTGGAAATGCAAGTGCCAGGTCCAGTTTGAATAACAGTGGAAGAGCTGCTATTTAAAATTACTGTTGTGGTTTTGCATTTAACCCTGTTAGTTTGTTCAGAAATGTAATGTGAAACAGACATAAAGGTTCAGACCTCTACTTTTTAAGATATAGGAGACTATAAACAAACAAACACAGAAATATTTTAAAGAAAAATATAGGGAAATATTTATAGGAACAGATTCAGAAGCTCATGTAGAATTTTACTACTTTGGCACCTAAAAGGGGAACACATCTCTAATTATTGGACCTAACATTGGGGTAATAATTATCAGCCAGTATATCAGCCAGTAATATTTCACAAAAATCAAACTAAGTCAAAACATATCACTAATTGATTGTAATACACTAACAGAATCCACACAACAATGTTTAGAAGTAGTCATACATGCAACAATAGATCGGTCAAAGCTATGATTATGTTTGACTTCCTGACAGCTGACAAATTATGTAAACACCGGATCAGATAATAGGTCATACAATACTTTGTTGCAATTTGACTTGGAGTTTAAGATGACAAACTTGTTTTGTTATGACCATTGAACAACCACCAGACTTCACATATGAGCCTCGTCCATCAGACCACGGCCATTTAAATGCCCAGGTAATGCACCAGCATACGGCAGCCCGGAGCTCGGAGCAGCCAAAACAAACTGTCGCATTCGTCCAGCAGCAGAAGCAGCAGCAGGACACGCATATGTGCCTTAGATCGAAGTAAAGTGCACTCACCGGCATCATCTTAGCTTCGTACCGCATCTAGCTACTCGCACACAGCATAAATCCACCCGGACCGATTCGACGAAAGCGCCTGGCTCTGGAGCTCGGTAATCCCGGATCCTAAAGCCGCGAAGGGCAGAAGACAACTCTCGCTTCGGGGTCCCGTCCTGCAAAGAAACACATTTACATCTATCTTTCGGTGGCTCATAAACACCGCGTCTGACAGCAGAACTACGGCTGGGTGCTCTATTGACCTGTTGCTACAGATAATCGGGCCTTCGCCACAAAAGTTTCCGCCGTAGTTCAGGGAGCATCGCAGGGAACTTTGTAAAGGCGACGCCGAGCTCAGCAGAGGCAGTAAAAAGGCGAAACTGCAGCTTGATAGAAGCGCAGAGGGGACTACAGATACATTACAGGTGAAAAGAAGAGGTTTACTTGCCTGGGACGAGCAGATTATTGAGAGAAGCCAGTGGCTGTCGGCTGTGTTCGCCTAGACGCGGCCGATCCCAGAGTGACGTGGAGGGAGGAGCCCGGGACACTTTGGAATTCTGGCCCCGCCTCCTCAGCAAACAACTCCCCCACCTCCCATACACATACATGAACACACACAAACCATGGATCTATAATAATAACGACACAAACACATACACATACACATACATAAACACATGCATAAACGCATACACATATATAAACGCATACACATACATAAACGCATAAATAAACACATGCACATTCACATACATAAACATATACACATACATAAACACATAGCTACATAAACATGTGAGATAAGATAAATTATATTGATCTCACATTAGAGAATTGTACGCATACAGTCTATGATGCAAAACACATAAACGTGTATGAATCGCTGCCTCCCCATGTTTAGTCCTATGCTCCTCAGAGTTGGTTCGTATGGGAATAACATGTCATGTACTTTGGTGCGTCCATGGAGAGACTTGTGCAGAGCTGCATGAAAGTCTATTCTCGAGCTGCAGCGTTTGACAGAAGTCATTTAAGATAAACGCATGGAATAATAATACAATTATAAGATAAGATAAAACAAGATACTCTTTTGTACCTTGGATGAATAATATACAAAATCATTTTGTAAATGTGATACTCAATATTAGAGGGCGATAGTAGCTCAGTTGGTAGAGCATTGGCCTCTGAGCCAGTGGGTCGTGGGTTCAAGCCCGATCTTCACCATCGACTCCCACTTTCTGCTGTCGTTGTGTCCTTGGCAAGACACTTAACCTCTGGGAACACCAGGTGCCACAGTGGGGTGGCTGTAAAGTGCCAAACTGCTGTTGTGTCCTTAGGCAAGACACTTCACTCCCATTGCCATGAAAGAGTGTGTGTGTGTGTGTGAATGGTTGGTGGTGGTCGGAGGGGCCGATGGCGCATACTGGTTGCCTCACTTCTGTCAGTGTGCCACAGGGCAGCTGTGGCTACCGTAGTAGTTTATCACCACCGTGTATGGAGAGAATGAATAATGACATGTAAAGCGTCTTTGAGCTATATAAAACCAATGCATTATTATTAGAGAAGATATTTGAAACATTTACAAACATAAAAAAATACATCGATAATAATATTTTCAGAATATATGTAAAAAAAAACCTAGACAGGAGCGAGCTGTTCAATATAAACATTGAAGACTCCAATTCAAAACTCCAATGAAATGCCAACAACTCAACGCACCCCATACATTATTTCATTTTTAATCTTTTAAATTAGATATTTACGTATTTTATTTACTTTTATCTTTTTATGTATGTTAACGTAAATTATAGAAATATTTGTAACCCAGTGTTACAACAGGAGAGAGAGAAAAAGAAAATCATCATAATCATTGAAAAGACAAAGAAATAAAGCAACCAACCAAAAAGACGAAGAATGTCTACCAAACTACAACTCCCAGCATGCCCTATGTACGGCGAGCGCGTGGCCCAAACACCGCATACACAGAGCCCAGGCTTGTGCACGTTGGTCTGTTGGCCTTGCCGTTGGTAACGTTACTACGGTGCCTGCAGAATCTCCTCTTTGCGGCTCTGCTTGGTGGACGTTCCCGCAGACATGGTGGACCCCGTAGCGGACGCATGTGAACAGCTTATCCGAGCTGTCAAAGCGACCATGGATCCCCAAACCAGCCAAATATTCCGCCTGGAGGCCCTAAAGGTACACCTACTGCTACAGGAGCTGGTGCTAGTTAGCTGCTATCCTGTTTTGGCAAACATTTAAATCTTAGCAGCATATGCATGTGTTATTTGCGTCATGTCCTGATACGTAGTAGTTAGCTAATTACAGAACACAACACAATATTTGGCACGCTGCAATATTTATCTTTTATCACAACAAGCTCATGTTCCAGATGCTGTTAGCTCGTATCATCTTAGCAGCGATTCATTCATTGTAAAAAGCTACTTCTCTGCCATGATCGCTGCTCAGGATGTGTGTAGTAACTGTGCATTGTGGGTATTGTTGTTATTGCTGTTTTATAATCTACTGTGTGGTCCTAATTTTTTGTTGTTTCACAGTTCTGTGAGGAATTTAAAGAGGAAAGCCCCTTGTGCCTTCCATGTGGTCTGAGACTAGCTGATAAAGCCAATGCTGCTGTTACAAGACATTTTGGTTTCCAAGTCCTGGAGCATGTAATCAAGTACGTAGATCCCAATGTAATGTGTATTATGATTGTGTGTTTATGTAATCTTGTGGCGCCACCTGCATGTGAAACCCAGGACCTGGTTGGTACTAGGACAGAATAACTTCTGAAACACCAGGTGCCACAGTGGGACAGCTGTAAAGATGACGATTAACAGATTTATTTGTCCCACAGTGGGGAAATAAAAGTGTTGTAAAGTGTCCTTAGGCAAGAAGCTTAACATTGCCTTGCATGAGTCTGGTGTGTCTGAATGGTTGGCGGCGGTTGGATGGATCAAATTTGTAGCCTTTCTTCTGTCAGTCTACCCCAAGGCAGTGGGTAAACTACGGCTCCTGCAGTAGTTTACCCCCTGCCCTGTACAGAATGATTGAATAATGCCACTGAAGCGTCTCTGGGTGTCATGAAACATACTGTATACATACGACTTTGCCTAATATATCTCTTTGGTTCAGATTCAGATGGAATGACATGCCACAACATGAGAAAGTGGAACTGAAGGCCTGTACCATGCAGCTGTTGTCACATGTAAGTATGGCCAAATCCGAAAAGGCAATAATTCTGTTTCTTACAAATCTAGAGTCTGATCTATTGGTGTATCAGAACTATTACTGTAAGAAAATCAACACCAGTGAATCTAAAAATGTTTCAGAGACGTGAGTGGATAGCACTCTCCCTTCTCAGCAAGAAGGTCCTGGGTTTGTTTGTAAAAACATGTACAATAGTTCTAGTATGTGCCTCCTGTGCGGAGACCCCGCTTCCATCTCTGTGTGGAGCGAGAGACAAATGCCCACAACAAATGTAAAATGACTGGTCTGTGAAAGGTGCTATATAGATAAAGATTACTTACTTACTTGTTGTGGAATTTTCTAAATGAAAATACTCATAATAAGATCACTTCAATAATGACCAGCGTTCTTTCATTAATAAATATAACACCCTGTTCTTGTTCTGCAGCCTACAGTTATCATAGCTGGGTTCTTTTGTACCGAGAGTTTGGACTGAAGAGAATGTAAATGATGATAATAATTATAATAATAATAAACAAACCTTATTCAGTTGCAGTGTTTTAATTTGTCTTAAGACCCACTTTTATCCTCTCAATTTTTGCATTGCGTTAGTTGTGTGCTCCTCTGTGATTTTATTTATACTATTGGTATCTTATTGTGATAAGTTATTGTTCTGGTGTTCTAGGTTATTTCTTGTTCTAATATTTTGTCGGCAGATTTATGTGATATTTTATTTTGTTTTCTGCAGTTTTTTTGTTGTTAAAATGTGCTATATAAATAAAGAAACATGCATGTTTCTGTACCTAAAATTTTGCTTTGCTGTTTGTAGGGCACACATTCAGTGCTGGAGGAGGAGAGCCATATCAAAGATGCAATCTCTCGGATCACTGTGGAGATGATTAAGAGAGAATGGCCTCAGAACTGGCCCGACATGCTGAAAGAGATGGAGGCTTTGACCAGCCAAGGGGTCAGTCAATGTCCAGGACCATTTAGTTTTTTGCCTTGTGATTATAGTGATGCAATAGTCATCATGCAAATACAAGCATTTAAGGAGAAAGTTGCTTTGAATATGCCTCATCATGGGGATGTCCTATTCAAATTCTGTTTTAGCTAACTCAAACTGGCTCCATGGGTGGGAATCTGGAGCCAAGTTTGTGGGTAGCGACGACCTAGCAACCAAAGAGCCAATCACAAGTGGCCCTGGGCGCTCACACTACTCGCCGCTAAAGTTTGGGGAGTTAAGGAACTTGATTGGTCAGTTGCTTGGGTACATAGCTAGAATTACAAATGCAATATAAAATAAAAAAAGTAGATCATACAGTAGGTTACACCAGAACCTTCTACACCCAAAATGATGGATGGGACACACACGGTTGCAGAGTTACAGATTTTTACTTTTCAATGTAAGTGAATGGGAGCCAGAGCTTTGTCCATCCATATATATCAGGGCTATTCAACCTGACGGTGGATGGCCATTTATTCTGTGTCGGAAAATGTTCAACACACTACCACTTTTAACATTTAGCAGCAAATATAAACAAAATTTCTATAATTCAGTTACAAACCAGTACAAATCTCTGACTGGGCGACTACCATTCAGGTATAAACCCATCAATGTACAGTATATACACTATACAACAACTGAGTCAAAAATTATTTGAAGAAATATATACGTGTATATGATATATAATTATTTTATATATATATACATAGGCCATGCCGACCATTCGATTCAACTTTTTGCAGTGAACATGGGCTGAGAGCCACAAGTTGAAAAACCTTACACACAAACACAGAAGTACCTAGAGTAGAACAAAGTATTACTTCCTTTTTTATGGCACAGGTTCAAAACTTTGTTGTATATTGTCGCCTCCTGCCTATCTATGAAATAATGACCTGGAGAAAATGGAAAACATGAGTATTATTCTCAGTAGAAGTCTGTTTGTGCGTTTGAAGGAGACTCAAACGGAGCTGGTGATGCTGATCTTGTTGCGCCTGGCTGAGGACGTGATCACCTTCCACACACTCCCTCCGCAGCGGCGCAGAGACATCCAGCAGACCCTCACCCAGAACATGGACAGCATCTTCACCTTCATGTTGGCCATTCTGCACATGAACGTGGAGGACTATCGCAAAGCGGTGGGCACACTCACTTTAATCCCTTCTATAGGAGTCTGTCAAACTCATGTCCCACATTTTTGTTTTGTTTTCTGATAGTGATTAAGTTGAAGCAATCTTTGTGAACTTCAAATTAAAATTTAGATTAGACAATGTAATATCTCATTGTGTTTAAAGTAATTACTTATTTATTCATTTTCAGATCGCAACACCGGGAATGGAACAAAAGGTGAGATAAAGCAATGAAGAAAAATTCCCAATATTATAATTCATTGAACATTCATTATCATTTGACCATTCTCACATTTTGTATAAAAATGTATCCAAACTTATTAAAATGAAAGTTGGATACTTTTCAAATAAATAATTAGGAGACTTGTTCTCCAGTGCAATGTGTTTAGCTTTATATTTGGTCCAGTTTTTTATTACATCGAAACAATAAATACATTTTGTTTTCAGAAAAATTAACAAGAAAATAATAATTTATTAGAAATGAAACTCATTTCCAATAAAAGTAACGTCAAAATACCGTCATAATGTAACAAAACAATTTGATAAGAAAAGGATTTCTCTTCTATTCTTTCAGCCTCCGACCAGTTCCTATTTTTCTTTCATTTGGCCTCTTACCAAAATGAGTTTGACACCCCTGGTCTAACAATTGTTCTCCAGCAAATCTTACTGGTGGTGGTTTTGCCGAGGAGAGGGACATAGATTATACTACAGGGTCATAAGGCCAAAAAACATTTAATGTAGATAAAGTTGCAAACATCACCTTTAAGTGTAAAATGCTTCTACAGTATTTTAAATAGTAACAAGTACTGACTGTGTTTGACGTGCAGGCCAGATCCCACTGCAGGGTTGCCGTGGCCACACTGAACACTCTGGCGGGCTACATCGACTGGGTGGTCCTGGCTCACATCACCAACAACAACTGCCAGCTCCTGGAGATGCTCTGTCTGCTGCTGAACGAGCCTGACATGCAGCTGGAGGCGGCCGAGTGTCTGCTCATCGCCATCAGCCGCAAGGTGAGGCCAAGTCTGGGGTCTACAGCTCCACAGTGCACACAGGGCTATGCACAGGGCAGTTCAGTTCAATTCAATTTGTTTTAGTTTATCCCTAATCAACAATATGTTTTGGCTTATTCACTGTATGGCATTAAAGAAACTATACAATACTGTTCAAATCAAATGTGGGCTTTTGATCAAAGTTTCAATACTAAAGATGGAGATGAAGATACTGAAGATGGCGGCAGGCAGGAGCTGTGCGTGACATGTAACCCCCGTCTCCCCCCGTTAACGCTGCTTAAACCGGGTGTCATCTCCAAACAAACAAAGATATTAAAACTGGAATCCCCCGGGAACGAGACACTAGAAGAGCTAGAGTCATATATCGACACAGTGTACAAGATGACAGGGAAACCAGATCAGAAACGCGGAAGGTGCGAGCTCGGCTCCAGCGACGCCAACACAGACACATCACTTTCCTTGGAAATAAGACAAATAAGACAATCTATGGAATCTATGCATCTACAACTCAAAAAACTAGATCTCCTACAAAAACTAAAAGATGATGTCGATGAACTTAAAAAATCCCTGGACTACCACGTTGCATTAGTCGATGTGCTCCAACAAGAAAATGCTTCACTGCGCGGTGAAGTGATCAATCTCAAGAGTTTGACAGCAAATTTACAACATGAATCAAGATCCATTCAAAACAACATCCTCGATCTACAATGCAGAAGCATGCGAGACAATATTATTATACATGGATTACCCGAAGAACCAAAAGAAACTTACCAAACGACAGAAAACATTGTGAAATCCTTCCTCAAATCCAACCTCAAGCTGGAGGATAGCGCGATTCGACATATCCAGTTTGCAAGAGCACACCGCCTAGGACCCCAGCGCGAGGGGGCATCCCGAAGTCGTCCCATCGTGGCCAAACTCCTGGACCCCAGGCATAAATCCATGATCATGGGGAATGCCAAACAGCTCAAAGGGTCGAAGCTTGCCCTAAGCGACCAGTTTCCCCCGGAGGTCATGCGGAGGCGCAAGCTGCTCCAGCCGGCTTTCTTTGAGGCAAGATCCGCGGGAAAGAAGGTCAGGCTATCGATGGATAAACTCTACATCGAAGGTACACTTTATCGTAACTCTCAAATAACTTATTGGCTCACCGGTGGCAACAGCGCGCACGCTGCACCAACGCCCCAGAGCTGACCATTGTAAACACTGTCCCACAAAGACGACGTCATCAGAACGACTCCAGTAGCTGTATTTTTGTAATGATCGAATTATTCCTTTGTTACGCGATTATTCACTTTCCTGTCTTCCCTCCCCAATATGACTCCTTAGCCATATCGGTTTTTAAGTATTGTTGTTGTTATTATTATTATTATTATTATTACCTCTAACCCTAACCCTATTATTCATAATGTTATGAATAATAATGATATCAATGCTATTATTATTTAGTATTCTCCCCACTGTTATTATCTCTTAATATTTTCTCTTTTGCGGCCACGGGGGGAGGGTAAACCTCCCAACTGCCTTCAAGTGTGATTTTGGACGCAAATCCCGAGCTACCGAATACGAATTGTTATTTGATTTTGTATTTGTAAAATCTCCCTATTTTGGTCCCCAGTTTATTATCCTGGTTATTTACTTTCTTTATTGTTACTATTGTTATTATTATTATTATTACTTTTTATCCCCCCCCCCCACTTCCTCTCCCTCTCACTACAAACGCTCGCAATGACTCACACATCCTCTCTCTCTCTGCCCCCCACCACACCCAAACATGAGGCTCCCCATCAAAGTCAACACACTTACAAACACACACACTCACACATACGCCCACACAAACCCCACATACCAACCACATAATTATAACAGAATGTAGAATGGGAACTGTCAAATTAGTGTCATGGAACATTAGAGGTTTAGGTAATCAGAGGAAAAAAACAAAGATTTTAGACCATTTATCCAAGCTCAAAGCGGACATTTGCCTATTACAAGAAACACATGCTACAAACTCAACGTTCAACAATATAAAATCCCCACAGTATAACCAATTATTCTCAGCTCATCTCAATAGCAAACAGAGAGGGGTCTGTATACTAATCCATAAAAAAATATCATTTACCCATCACGGTACCATAGCTGATCCAGAGGGGCGCTACATAATAATAAACATCTCCATCAACAATACACCCCTCACAATCGGTAACGTATACGGTCCAAACACAGATGACCCAATATTTTTTCAAACCCTTTTCACACAAATCCAACACTTCTCAAACTGCCCAATCATACTAGCTGGTGATTTCAACACAGTTCTCGATCCCTCCATGGACAAATCAAACAATACAGTCAAAAGGCCCTGGCAATCTACAGAAACCATCAAACAATTCATGAAAGATTTTGGCCTTGGCGATAGCTGGCGACTAAAAAACCCCACAAAAAAACAATACACTTTCTTCTCACCAGTCCATCACTCATATTCACGCATTGACTTCATCCTAAACAGTAACTCAATTATGGCAGAAATCTCAGAACAACATATCCACCCAATAACCATTAGTGACCATGCCCCACTAGCAATTTCCTGGAACTTCTCACCTCACCCCAAACAGCCAACAAGATGGCGTTTCAACACATCCCTCTTAGCAGACGCAAACTTTGACAATTTTTTCAAAAGAGAGTGGGCATCCTTTACAGAGACCAACGACTCCCCGGGAACTTCACCCTCACTCCTGTGGCAAACAGGAAAGGCAGTTCTAACAGGCCGAATTATTTCGTTCTCTGTCCACAAAGCTAGAAAAGAAAAAGAATTAGAAAACAAGTTAGAACATGATATAAACACACTGGAACAAACGAACATGATCAACCCAACAGAGAACCAGGAAAAAGAGATAAAAGTATTGAAACTCAAATTAAATGAAATAATAAATAAACGAACTCAATTTCTTATCCACAGACTCCGACAAGAACATTTTCAACACAACAACAAATCAGGAAAATACTTGGCCAACCAGATAAAATTGAATAAAGAAAAAACATCAATCCCCATCATTAAGAACTCAGCAGGGGAGCATATAACGTCACACAAAGGAATAAATGAAACCTTCGAAAATTACTACAGAAAACTGTATTCCTCTGACTCTGACCCAAATATAAACAATATCCACACATTTCTAAACAATATCAACCTACCCATTCTCTCAGCTAGCCAGATATCAGGTTTAAACTCACCAATTACAGAATTTGATCTCTGCACAGCACTTAAAGCTATGCCCAACAATAAATCCCCTGGACCCGACGGCTTCCCTGCTGAGTTCTACAAACATTTTTGGCCCACACTCTCCCCGCTATTCATGCGTATGCTACAGGAATCAGAACAGATCAGTAAGCTGCCAACCCACATGAACTCTGCCACAATCTCCCTCATCCTCAAACCCAACAAAGACCCTACACTGCCCTCCAGTTACAGGCCCATCTCACTTATCAATGTCGATACAAAAATCATATCAAAAACCCTTGCCCTCCGAATAGAAAAAGTAATCCCAACGATCATTCATCCCGACCAAACTGGCTTCATTAAAGGACGACACTCATCAGACAATACTCGTAGGCTGTTCAATTTAATCCACTGGTCAACTCTACAACAGGAAAAAACCATAATTGCATCCTTGGACGCAGAAAAGGCTTTCGACAGGGTCGACTGGACCTTCCTGTTTGCCACACTGGAGAGATTTGGCTTCGGGGGGTCGTTTGTCAACTGGATAAAAATGCTTTACACCTCACCTACTGCTACTGTCATCACCAACGGTAGAACTTCACATCCCTTCATTCTTCACCGCGGAAACCGCCAAGGATGCCCACTCTCTCCATCTTTATTTCTAATCTTCTTAGAACCACTTGCAGCAGCAATTCGCCAAAATAACCAAATCAAAGGATTCCAACCACAATCAATCGAACACAAAATCAGCCTGTATGCAGATGATATCCTCCTCTTTTTACAAAACCCACCTTCATCATTACACCACACAATAAACCTCATCGAATCATTTTCCAAACTCTCACAATATTCAATCAACTGGAGTAAATCCTCAATTCTCCCCCTACAGTCAAACAGTTGGGATGTTGCAGCCATCACTCCTCCTGTCCCACTCTCTTCAAACCACATCACTTACCTGGGAATTAAGGTTTCCTCCAGGCTTTCAGAGCTGTTTTCTCTCAACTTCTCCCCCTTACTCAAACAATTAGAAGAAGATTTACAACGCTGGATGAATCTCCCCATTTCAATCACAGGCAGAATCTCTCTGGTTAAAATGTCAATACTCCCCAAAATCAACTACATACTCTAATGACCCCTGTTCAACCCACTCAAACCTGGTTTAAATCACTCAACTCTGCCATTAACAAATTCTACTGGAAAAACAAACCACCCCGTATCAAACTCGCAACACTACAAAACCAAAACTACAGGGAGGCCTCAATGCCCCAAATTTTTACCACTATTCATTAGCTAATCATTTACAGTACATATACAAATGGATCCACTCAAACACTTCTGATTCAATCTGGATGGACACTGAACAATCACTTTGCAATAACATCAATCTCTCAGACCTACCCTTCCTTAATCAATCAATAAAGAAATACCCACTTTTCAAAACACCAACAATATCGGCAGCTCTGACAGCCTGGTGGAAACTCCACGATTTAACAAACACCCCCTTTGCCCCATCCATCCGCTCCCCAATTTGGCACAACCCAGAATTCACAAGCAATAATAAACCTCTGTACTTCCATTCATGGGCAGATAAAGGTATAACTCACCTCAATCACATTCTCACAAATAACAGTTTAAAACCACTGACACAGTTGGCCCTGGAGTATGGCATTGGGAGTAAATGCTTCCTCGAATACTTACAACTAAAATCAGCAATCCAAAAAAAAATCAACATCCAAACAATAAATCTAGGCCTTCATGACACAATTGCAGATTTCATAAATATTCCCCCCAAAAAACTGAACACCAAAATATACAAAATAATCACCAAATCAGATAATACACAATCTCTTCCAACTGCAAAGTGGCAACAAGATTTAGCATTTACTCCCAGTGCCAACTTCTGGACCCAAATCTGCAAAAATATGTATTCAATGACCACCAACTCCAACCTCCAACTCATACAATTCAAAATCCTACACAGATAACACTACACCGGTTACAAATTATCAAAAATGGGATCCACTTCAGACATCTGCCCACACTGCACACAGGGTTGTAGGGACAATTACATTCACGCTCTTTGGCACTGCACTCCGGTCCAAGCATTCTGGAAAGCCGTCACTCAATCACTCACCACTTCACTTGGCTGCAACATCCCAATGTCCCCATCCCTATGTCTTCTAGGAGACATATCCACACTCCCCATCAACCAGGGTAAATCAAAGTATCTTTTAATGTCGCTAGCTATCGCCAAAAAAACAATACTCATAAACTGGAAATCCAAAACCAACATACACATTTCAGCATGGGAAAACTTAATTTCAGATTATATTTCACTTCAAGACATACCCCCCAACCACACCTCAGACAATACACCCCACGCATCCCAGACCCCAGTCATAAGCTAACCTTATATACTCTACGTATTTCCAATATTTATGTCATCATGTATTTTGCACACCTCTCTCTCTCTCCCTGCTGCTACACCACTGTACCCCTGTTAATATATATATAGATATACATACATTCTACAGTAATATGTTGATGAGGAGGGAATAAGAATAAATTAATAAAGGAATTAATAATTAATAATTAATAAAAATATATAAATAAAGAACAAATAACAAAAATAATAAATAAATAACAAAAAATAAGTCCTCTTCCCACATGCATCTCAAGGACACACTTTTAATGCACAACATCCCAAACCTGTTTTTAATGCACCACACAATCAGAGATGCTGCTGGAAGAGCAACACCAATCTCCTACCAACTCGCTCCTATACTCCTAATGGGCCCTCTTCACCAACATTACGACCACCCCCTCTATAACCACCCCCTCCATAATCCCCCCTCCCTTGGATTATAGCACCTCAACTCGTCCTATGTTTTTTACTATTATTATTATTAGTATTACTATTATTATTAGTCTCTCTTTTCTTTCTCCCCTCTCTCACTACCGGTCAATAAAAGAAAATTTTCAACACCCTCAGATACCTATTCAATACACCAAAAGTGAACACGCACATACACACACACACACACACACACACGCTCGCGCACGCTGAATCCTCCCCCCCCCCCCCCCCTGTCCCCCCTCCTGACCCTATGTAAATGCTTATATGTTTATGTAGGTTTCTTGTCTAAATGTACAAATGGGTCTATAATGTCTGCTGTAATATATTGTATACACCAATAACAAAAAAAAAAAAAAAAAAGTTTCAATACTAATCATTTTTAAATGACAAAAACTATGACAAATGTACTGTGAAACAAACAAAAGGTGGTGAAACTTCATTGCAAGGTTTGCGTTTGGCAATAACCAACATAAAGAAATAAAAAAGAAAGAAAATTCAGGGAAGCCAGGTCTCTGCATAGAAAGTTTCCTAGATTCAGGAGCTCATTTAGCATCTCTGCTACAAAGGAGTTTCCACATCCAACCAGTCTCACATTTGGGGTCAGCAAACCTTCTGAAAAAATTGCAAAGTCACCAATATGAAAGGGAAAATATGCAGTATTTTTTTCAATTTATTTCATTTGAAAACTGTTTGCATCCGGTATAATATGCGTAACATGTGAAGAATTATTTCCTCCCTGCTGTTGTATTCTTAGATCTGAAAGACCCTTCTACTCGTCAACATCATGCATATGTCTTTTGAAAATTGTCACCACTTTAAGGGTGTATTCAGACCTGAAAAGTCCTTTGCTCCGCTTGTTTGATCCAAATCAAAATCGGACCAAACTTTTTTCTTTTGCTCCGGTTCATATTCAGACTGTCCTTTTTGCAAGTTAACTTTTTTATATGAACATATTGACACGTGTGACGATCGCCGCTCCTATTGGACACCGAGAGCTCACGGAGGATAGACGCGGAACCGGCAGAAAACATTGAGGGCTCGTATGTGCAGCATGTCTGCTCTGCCTATGTTTGCTCTTTTTAGAGCAAAACCACCTTCAACATCAACAGCAGCTCATCAGACACAGGCGAAACACTTTGTTTTAAATATTGGAACAGCGTCGGAGAATGCGTGAGGAGAAAGCCGAAGGAGACTGTCTGTGCGCTCCGTGCCCTGTCCCACACATGGATCTATTATAATAACGGTCCTGTTCAGCATTGTGGATAAACCATGGATCTATAATAACCACGGGACAAACAGACGCTGAGGATCAGGTAGGAACCAAAGAACACAATCTACTAGATGATGCGGAATATTGCTCTTTGAGACGTGAGTCAAACAGTGTCAGGCTTTTAATAATGCAAATGATTTGAAGATGCTGCCATTAACATCAATGTATACTGTGAACAGTTTTAACTCCATAAGCCTGTTGCACAGCGTCTCCTCACTGCTCCAGGTCTGCACACGGCTCAGTGTTGTTGTGTAGCGTTAGCAATAGGGCTGGGATAAACGATTATTTTTTAAACGATTAATCTAGCGATTATTTTTTCGATGCATCGATTAATCTAGCGATTATTTTTTTCGCTTCGATTCGATTTTGATTTGATTCTCGATTATCTCCCCATTAATTGACTAATATTGATGTATACATGTTGATTTAAATATTTTAATGAAAAAAACATGAATTCCTTCACAAAAAATATTTATTGCTTGCTCTTAAAATTCAAAAATAAGACATTCTTAGAGGTAGCATAAAACCTTAAAGCCTTGAAAACACAGCTTACTGAAAAAAGTGCATCTTATCATTCTTGAAACAAACATTTGATGCTTAGCATTCAATAAAAATATGAAAAAGTTCAGCCAAATACTTGTGTAGAGCAACTAAAAGAAAACAGTAACCAATGTAAACTTGAAGGCTTTAAGCTAAACAAAGAGTGCTTTTTTAGCAAAAACAGTGGGAGCCATCAGCCTGTCATGGCGTCCTTCCTGAACCAACAGAGTTTAACATTTAAGTTGAAGACACATAGGCCTATATTACTGAAGTCCATTAATTAAAGTGCATCTCTTAAATTCTTCATTCATATAAAAATAACAGTCAAAACTCTGCCACTCACCTTTTTCTTAAACTCAAAATTCAAAAATAAAATTCAAGTAAGAGTGTACAAGAGAAAAACAATGCATTGTGTAGCAAATAAAAAGGTCAACCAGTCATCCTTTCTTTTAGAGTTACTGAAAGAATACAGTAACTATTGTAAACTTGGGGGCTTTTAGCTAATATAGAAAGTGCTTTTCCAACAAAAAATAAATAACGTTGTAAAGTGGGGAGTTGAAAAAAAACTTACGGCGCTCTCGTCTCATCTGCTGCAGCAGCTCCCGGGTGGCGTCTCTTCAAATGCTGGTTCATTGCCGTAGTGCTGGAGTGAAAAGCCATCTCCATTTTGCATAAACGACAAGCTACTGCGTTGTTCCCTTTCAAACTGAAGACTTCCCAAACTTTGGATGAACGAGCGCGTGCCGGCTTGCACTTCTCTAACACGGCACTCGCATTGATACCGCTCGCCGCCATCTTTGTTTTGTGTGTGACGCACCGACGCGCATATTATACGTCGGTGTATTTTTTGCGTCGACGTCACCGATTACGTCGACGCGTTGTCCCAGCCCTAGTTAGCAGCATAGTTAGCCGCTGCATGGCTGCAGTTTCTGTCTGCGGTGGCTTGTTAAGCCCAAAAAATGCGCACGTATCTTGGAGTTGTGTCGGATCAACACCGGATGTATTCAGACCTGATTCGACTTGGACCAGAATTTGTTTGGAAGCGGGCCGAGAACACCTAAAAAAGTGGGTCTCGGTTCGGTTCTTTGGTCCGGACCAGGATTCGTTTGTGTGTATTCAGACCTGCATAAAAGCTTCGGACCAGAGTTCCCAACAAATCCTGGTCCGTTTAAAGTGGAGCAAATGTGCAGGTCCGAATACACCCTAAGAAAAACCATTTTATGAGACGTCGCATGAATGCGACCTGTCGCAGTGAAAGTTAAGGTGCTTCAAAGCGATTTAGGCTCTAGAGAAAGGTGTCAAACGAGTTCCAGAAAGGGCTAACCATTTTCTCAGTCTTGACCTGAAGACTTGAGGAAATGGGCGGAGTGTGCTGTGCTCCTGCTTGGTTTGAATGAAATCCTGCAGCCACATCATCCCTTTCTGGAACCGGTCTTATACACCTGCCCCAGAGGACAACCAGAACAAGTCCTCACAGTTTTCATGAGGTTCATGTAAGTACTTGCGATGTGATTTACAGATGTGTTGTTTCGCAGGGGAGGCGAGACGAGAGGCTACCATTCCTGCTTCTCTTTGGGGACGTGGCCATCGACGTGATCCTCTCTGCAGCTCAGTCAGTCCCATTCTTTACTGAATAATGTACTTTTGCTTTCTGGACTTGATAATAAGAGCTTTGTTACTCCTCACAGATCAGCAGATGGACTGGCTGTTCAGACATCCGCTGATGGCAAGTACGTGATTCGCCTGTATTTATATTTATATACTCGAGCCATTGTTTAGACTGTTAAAGCCCTGTGAATAAACAGTTCTTACTCATTCAAGCACAAATCGAGAACATTGCTTAGTGCATATGACGGGTTAGGATTGTATTATCTTCTTAAAATCTTTGCAATATTGTCCCAGTTTAGGGGGTTTTGTTATTATTCTGGGTCAAAATGCTCAAGTTCACAGAAATCACGTCTTGACCATTTACTTGAATCAAATATGTTAATTTACTTGAGGCAACTGTTTATGTGTCATGGGATTGCATTTATTGTGAATTATGTCTGCTCTACGTTGAACATATTCCCACATTTTAGCACAAATTGTCACTTTCTTGGTGTAAAACTATGAATTGTTTTCCAAACATTGGCTTATGGAAAAAGAGTGAAAAGTCATTCACACTTTAAGGTTGTTTTTATACAGTAGACCAATAGTTACCTTTTTGACCTTGTTCAATCGTTCTGGTCTCATAAGTTTTCTTTGCCATAGATTTCTTTCTTTACAGGATCTATAATTATGTTAATCACATATTCATGTTTACATTGAAACCATTTTTTATCATTAAACAGTTTGTACATTTCCAGCTCTGCAATCTTTCTTAATGTCATATACACTTCTTGGAATCCTAATCCAGATGACTTTTTAGTGACTGACTACATTGGTTATCTTCATAATGAGTTTGTTGGCTTCATTGATTCACTCGTCCCAGTTCTGAGACGATGCTTTTGTGTCCACAGTTCTCTGGAGGTTGTGGAGCGACGTTATCTGTTCCTGAAGAGGCTTTGTCAGGTGCTCTGTGCGATGGGGAGCCAGCTGGGCTTTCTGGCTGTAAGTAGTACTCATTATTTGCTCTATGTTACATAAACATAACAGACACAAATATCATTGAGACAGATACAGCACGGTAAAAAAGGGGTTGGTTGAAGATTTTATGATCAATAACATATACCACATTCGATTTATTATCAGCAATATCATTAAACTGTAGTTTTCATGGCTTTGTTTTTTTTGCCATATCTACCAGCCCTAATTTGGCATTGTTTCTTGATTAAAATACTACATCACACCCCAAAATATTAGCCTGAAGATATTGATAATTCATTTATTTGTCCTTTTAAAAAAATATATACAATACACATCTCCTATATTCACATCTATCTGTGGTCTGTATTACAGTGGTGTAACATGGAAACTTTGCTACAATAATCGGCTTTTTTAACTCATTCACTGCCCATGACGACAAAAGTCGTTCTATTGTATAGTGACGCTCACTGCCCAAGACGACTTAGACGACTTTTTCGTGTTATTACACGGGAGGCTGCAGTAATGTCTGGCGCACCTCGTGAATGACCCACAACACTGATATATAGTGCAAATGTACCTGTAATGATAAATCACCACCAGTAGGATGCAGTATTGCACCACAGGAGAGGTCATAAGTCAGTGGAGAGAAGGAGGAGGAGTGTGGGGTCTTTGGAGAGCGTGCTGTGCTGCTGTAGCAGAGCGATGATAGCGTACTGTAGCATTGAGACGGATCAGATCTAGTTTAGCGATAGTATAGCAAGAGTGATGGCAAAAAAGAATAGTTATAAGCAGTATACACTGCTTCAGAGATTGACTCGCGGATCAGTGAGTGAGGTCGAGAGGGGAGAGAGGGGAGACCCGGGTGGAGGTCCGTCTCTGCAGCTACATTTGCGCGGAGCAAGAGCCCCGAGCAGAGACACACCTTCCGCCTCTCGCAGCGTATCAGCTGCTGTTGTTACTGATGCCTCGGATTCGTTCAGCAAACCTGATCATGATTTATCGGACACACTCACAAACACTCACACGCACTCACTCACTCACTCACGCACACAGACACTCACTCGCACACTGACATTCACACACACAGACACTCACTCGCACACTGACATTCACACACACAGACACTCACTCACACAGACACTCACTCGCACACTGACATTCACACACACTCAAATTCACATGCTTCATTCTATTTTATACATCTATAGTTTTATTGATCTTTGTGTTGTTGTTGTTTGACGTTTTGGTTGATGGTATAGAAGAAAGTTAAATTTTCTATCTGTGAATAAATTGCCAACAATTTGCCATCAAAAGTATTATTTCAGAGTCATGTTTTTATAATTTTTGTAATGGAACAAGTGTGAAGATGTTTTGAGTTGTCACTAAAGCAGCAAAAATGCATCTAAAGTCTCTTTTCTGCTTGATATGTTCCTGTTTACATACAGCTCGTTTTCTCTGTTTTCTTGCTCAGACCAGGTGTTATGGGTGAAAGTATGCTTTGTTCTATGGCAAATAACGCAAGAACGGTAAGAGGTAGAAACAAACTGTTTTTTTCAGAGTAAAGCAGAGAGGTGAATCTTTAATTTGGTGCCCTTGGTGTTTACATCGTCTAAAAAATGAATATTCTGTGGCACTTCAAAGTTGGGTCAAATCACCTGAAATTGCTGGCAGAATGCACTTCTCAAATCTGAAAATGCCTGGCAGTCAGTGAGTTAAGTTAATGAAAAACATACCAGAAAACATCATGAGAAAATTTTTTATGGGAATTGTTGGATGAAAGATCATAGATTTAAAAAAGAAATTTAAAAAAGTGCCTGTGGGTAATGGCTAACCTCTTTCTCTGCAGGGCTCTGAATCCGGGATTACGATTCCAGAAAATCTCTCCAAGTACACAGAGGCTCTCATGGCCTTCACCATGCACACCAGTCACGTGAGTGTATTTTTAATAGAATCATTTATCGTAATGGGTGATGTTTTTATTGAATACTTCTATGTTTGGTCGAACAGTATTTAAAAATGGCCACTCTTCCAACTTGGGGAGGACTGTTCAGGTCTGAGGTCCTGTCCAAAGAGCCCGTGGTTGTGGAGATGGCCAAGAGGTATATGAAGACGTGTATGACCAACTTGGTGAAGGTGCGAGCGATTTGTGCCATTTCTGATCAATATAAATACATTTATATTCCTAAAAATATACTTTTTCCACTTAGACTGGGTATCCATCCAGAAACGACCACCCCAGTTGCCTGTACTCCAGCGTGGACTTTGACAACGATGAAGATTTTCACGGATTTTCTCTCAGTAATGAAGACTTTTTTAAAATCATTATTATTCATATTATTTTGATTGTTAACAAGCGTTTGCGTGTTAGTTTTCCGAGCCCAGCAGAGCGACATGCTGAGGCTGGCCTGTCGGATCGCTCCTCTCGAAGCTTTCCGGATCGCAGGGGAGTGGCTGCACTTCCTGATCGCGAGTCCCATCGACATTGGAGATGCGAGCAGTAAGTTCTGACCACTTGCTTTGGTATATTTATGATGATGGTCATATAAACTAGGATAGATTAAGATTAAGAGATCCTTAATTTGTCCCACAGTGGGGGAATTTCAGTGTTGTATCACAAGTTACAGAACAGTGGGAATGAGGAGCACACAGCACAGGAAAAACAAAAAAAATTATTAACTCTAGCATAAAATAAACTGTATTAAATCTCTATCTTTAGCAAAAAAGGAAAGAAGTTTGAAATGTCCAACTTTAGTGTGATGAAGAAGCAAGACATAGGTACAAAAACCCCTGGTTAGCATCATAAGGAGCAGGTATAAAATGCTGATACAGGACTTGTATAAACTTTCCATTGAATAAACATGTTTTTTGTTTCTATAGCGACATCCTCCGAGGGTACATGCTCCATCCTGTCCCCATCAGCGATCCAATGGGATGCAGAGACCGTCTTTATGGAGAGCATGATCTCTCAAATGTTCAAATATTTGGAGCCTGAGGTAATATTATGCAACGATAAGATAAGAGATAAGAGTTCCTTTATTCGTCCAAAAGTGTGGAAATTTTGACACTAAAATGCACACAAAATATACAAAAAAGTGGTAGCTGTATTACTTAACTATCTGTAAATGCTTCGCTACCAGTCTTTCAAAATAAAATAAAAAAAAAATATATAGTATGTAGTAGTGCAGAGTTATATACTGTACGTATAGTGCAAGATAAGAAGTAGATAAGTAAAGTGACATAGTTCTGTGACATTCTGAAGGAGCAGTATTGCACATTGCACATGATTTAGTATTTACTTATTTACAGATGGATGACATTTGCAGACTCAGCAGTTCTTATTGTACAGTCTGACAGCAGCAGGAAGGAAAGACCTACGGAACCTCTCCTTCACACAGCAAGGGTGAATTAGTCTGTCACTGAAACTGCTCTCCAGAGCAGAGAGAGTGTCCTGCAGGGGGTGACAGTCATGGTCCAGCATAGATGTTAGTTTGCTCAGGACCCTCCTGTCCCCCACCTGCTGCACTGTGTGCAGGGAACAGCCCAGGACTGAGCTGGACTTCCTGATGACCTTGTCCAGCTTCTTCCTGTCCCTCTCGGTGATGCTGCTGTTCCAGCAGACCACACTGTATAAGATGGCTGATGCCACCACAGAGTCATAGAAGGTCTTCAGGAGTGGCCCCTGCACTCCAAAAGACCTGAGCCTCCTCAGTAGGTAGAGCCGGCTCTGGCCCTTCTTGAAGAGGGCGTCTGTGTTATGAGTCCAGTCCAGTTTGTGGTTCAGATGAACACCCAGGTACTTGCAAGAGTCCACTCTCTCAATGTCCTTTCCCTGGATGTTCACTGGAGCTGGAGCGGCAGAGTGAAGTCTGCGGAAATCCACCACCATCTCCTTGGTCTTCCCCGCGTTGATGAGGAGGTGGTTCTGCTGACACCAGTCCACAAAGTCCTGTATGACTCCTTTATACTCTGCGTCATCGTCCTCGGAGCTGAGTCCGATGATGGCAGAGTCGTCAGAGAACTTCTGTAGAACACAACCGTCCGTGTTGTGTCTGAAGTCCGCAGTGTAGAGGGTGAAGAGGAATGGCGCAAGGACAGTCCCCTGGGGGGCCCCCATCCTGCAGGTCAGGACCTCAGACACAAAGTCCCTGGTTCTCACAAACTGGGGTCTGTCTGTGAGGTAGTCCAGGATCCACTGGGACAGGTGTCGTAGTCCACTCCAGCTGTCTCCAGCTTGTCCCTGAGAAGCCTCGGCTGGATGGTGTTGAAGGCACTGGAGAAATCGAAGAACAGAATCCTCAAAGCGGAGCCAGGTTTCTCCAGGTGGGACAGCGAGCGATGGAGGAGGGAGATGATGGCGTCCTCAACTCCGATGCCCGGCCTGTACGCGAACGTCTTAAAGTACCAAAAATGTGACCGGTCACTTGTTTTCATGCAGACGTTCACAATTTTACAACGCAATTGAAGATAAAGAGTAGAATCAATAACTATCGACATAGCTCTAAGTTGTATACATTTTACATATAAAGCTTTAATTTTTTTGTTAAATGTAGGTAGTACATTTCTGTCCATGGAACATAATGAGGCATACTCTGGTAGAGATGTACCAATGATAGTGGGCAATCATAAGACAAAAGAAAAACATATATTTATATGGCACCTTTCAAGTCACGACAGGACAACCTTACAATTAACACAAAATACAAATGTACATAATATCCCAGTGCATGTGCAGCATTTAAAAAGGAACGGTCCCTTGAGTTGATTTTTAAAATTTAAAAGTCCAGTTGACGGAGGTGCTGTTGAAGTGTTACAGAGCTTTGGGGGCAGAATAGCTGAAAGCGCTGGCCCCATAGTGACCATATCGTACTGTGGGGATGGAGAGGAGACGAACGGAGTGGAAGTGAAGCAGGCCAATATTTATGGAGCTAGAACACAAGTATAGCTTTGTATTCTGGTCACAAAAACAGCATCCAAATTGTCCCCACAGATGTCCATGAATTTACGCATTAGCCATGCAAAGATGCCCAGCATCATTCCATCAAGTTATGGATCTACATTCCAATGCATCCCTACGACTTTGTATCAATATATACACTGGACAGCCGACGTATATCTTTTTTCCTTAAAGCCCAGAACCACACAGATGGAATGGTTTGCGATGGCCTCTGCCCAGTTTTCACCCTGCAAGGCCCATTCCAGGACGATCCGTAGGCACAACGCTCACCTCCATCTGACTCAAAACAGGTGATATTCTAAGTAATATGCACTGATAATAAATGACAACATGGTAAATGGCATATTTCAATGTTTCAGTTAGCACTTACTCTGGGGATAAGCTGGCCAACGGTTCCACGTGGTGTGGGTCTTTTTTTTCCAATTGACTTTGTCCAGCGAAAGAAAAATCGACTACTGCCTCATGAACATTGCTTGAAACGCATCTGTCGCCGTGACACAGTCTTTGTCCATTCTCTGCCAGGTGAACATTGGCGCCCGTGGCCGAAGTAACACCTGGTCCCACTCTTAGCAACACAGACTCTCAGTTTCATGTCGCATCTTTTCGCACAGTCACATTTCACCACCAATTGCTATTTGCCCGTGTTCTTTCTTCGATGGCATTCAGTCTGGTAGTCGTTCTTTGTCTTTGTTCCCTCTCATGTCCATCTGGGCTAAGTTCCTCCCTCTGTATATTCAGGCTCAAAAAGATATGCCTCTGATCCCTGTAAACCATTCTTCCTCATCCACAAAGCCGCCATCCGAAATTTTTTCTTATAGTTTTCGTTCTAAAACTAATTGCTGCCACAACTGTACCTCAAGCTAGCTATCCGATGTCTCAGCTTCTACCGTTGTACAAGTCACGCTGTTCTTCCTATTGACGGAAGTGAGCTAGAGAAAATCTCCGGTAGAAGATTTAGTGCGCGGACGTAGCGCACTCTCAAATTACTAACACGCCTCACAATATAGTACCCCGTTTTAATCCGCTGAGAAAAACGACAGATACATTTCTGTTACTATACCCATTGCAGTGTAACACGTCACTAAGTCTATATACATTTAAAAGGAACACTTGGGAGAGTTGGTACTTCAAGCGGGAGCTACCTTTTGGTGCTACACAGTATACCAGGGAGGCTGCATTGTCCTCCGTTTTTGCTCCGTTTGCATGATCAGAGCGCACAGGACTAAGATCACACAGGTACGTATAAACAAGTCTAATGTAAGGTAAGAACATATGTCAGTATGTAAAAACGGTGTACTATTCCTTAAAAGCTTTTTAACTTTTTTCTCCTGCAATGTTCATGTTATGTGGGAATCATTCTGCAGCCGTCCTTAGTGCTACTCCATATAATATAATACAAACACCTTCTGGTTTCTGATGAACAGCGAAGCATCACGCTGGTGTCCTCTCCACAAACTGAGGAATTGTTGCCCTCATACACCAGCACCAAGAATTGTTTTTCGTACGGACGTCTCATGGATCCGGCACACGTGTTGTTTGTTATGATATTGCAACAGCTGAGGCACAGCTGCAGAAGAGACTGACCAATCAGAATTGACGTTCGCTCACGTCAGATTGTTTTTGGCGGCCCGGCTAGTGGAGTGAAGTCGGCCTTATACTATGGGGTCAGACCACATAGAGAATGAATGCTCGCCACCACCGAGGCGTTTTTTTTGACGCTTGGTGAAAGCCCCGAGAGCACGCACGCACCAGCCAAAGAGCCACATGGCGCTCACAGTAGCCCACGGGTTGGCCACCGCTGAACTAAAACAATAGAAATGTTTCGCCCTCTGCTGGACGATTACCAACTGCACTCTTTAAATGACCAGGACAAAAAAAGAAGTTATTTTCCATTTGACTCTTCAAATCAACTAATAAGCTTTGATTTCCAAAATATAGTTCTCTGGAGGTTTAGGACGTTAATATTAGGCACTCATGACAGCTTTTGTCTCTTATATAAATTGTTTTCAAGTTGACAGTTCCTACCTAGGCCCTAGTACTGAATGAGGAAGATTGTGAACATAAGCTAGTCGAAGCCAATTTCTTAATGAATGGGCTTTTTTTTTGACACGGGTTAGCTTCGCGCAGTACAGGAGCAGACAAGTTGCCCAAGACGGATTTCTACAAAAACTAATAGGGCTTCCCCTGACAAAGGAAAGAAATCTGATTTTTAAAAATACCAGATAGGAGTATATATGACCAAAGACAAATCAAAATGGTAAACACCAGGACCACAGACACCTAAACCACAGATTGTATTTTATTTATGGTGAAATGCGCAATTCTGAGCTAGAGGAAGTTTACTTTACATGTTTCTAAGTAAGTCAAATTGGAGACAGGTTGAGTAGAGCCTAAACTTTAGTCCATGAGCACTTCCCTTTGCTTCATTGAGCTTGGGGGTTAAGGCATTGTTCATATAAAACAATCTGGTGGCTGCTACATGCCATTTTCTCTATCTTAGAAAAACCTATAACTTCATTCATGACTTTGGAAACAAAAAAGGTTGCTTTCTAACTGGAATCTTTGCAGTGACGATGTTTGCAACTACAATCCCATAATGGACAAAATAATGCTGATCGTTTGAGCAATAATGAATTTAGAATTGCCCTGTCCACACCTGACCTTGCACTGGCCACAAAGTCAAGCTGTTCCGCTCTTCTCCACACTGCTGCTTCTTCGGCCATAGGCACTTTAGCATTCAATCTGTATAAACAGCTGTCTAGAGCCTTGAATGCTTATATAATGTTCAGAAGGCTCCTAAAGCCATGTGTGCCGGGGGGCGATAAGGAGGTTTTCAGGTCATATTGATTGCTATAGATGATACATAGGATGACAAACCCCAGCATTCAGACCACAGACCCACCATTTCAGCAAGTTCATCTATTGATTCAGTTGCAATGGATGCTGTGACCTATAGGTTAAATGAAAGAAATATATTTTCTTAACAGGCATAAGACTGTGAACCCTGACAGCTTTTAATTGACACCACTGTCACAAACACATTTCCTGTAGGTGAATTTTCTTTCTTAAGAGAAAGAGAAGGTTGTATGAGTAATCATGATAATACGTAGTGTCCAACACAAATCCACGAACATGATAAAATTTTTGTACATGTTATAAAAAATGGGTTGGGTGAGCTGTCGAGGCATGATGAAAGTGGACCCTGGATTGACAAAAGACAATTTCCAAGTGTCAATTACAGCGGGACGGTATTGGGAAAAGCTGCAGAAAGGGCTGAGCAGAAAATATAGAAAAAATGTATGGTAAAAATGACAAAAATTTACAGGACATATCCGTATCCCTATAAATTACAGAACCCGCTGAGAAAATCACAGCTACAAGTACACACCGAGGAGAGAGGATAGGGGGTGGCGGATAATCAACACAGGAAATATGACACCTCTAATTCTCCTCACCCTCTCACATTCTCTCTCCCTTCCTCCTCTTCCTCTCCTTTCTCCTCCTTCCTCCTTTCTCTCTGCACTGTCTGAAGAATATACAGAAGATAATTTGATCTAAACAGCCACTGACCTGAGTCGTCCACACTTTTCCGCATATAAGGTTGTTACTATTCTTTTCCATAAGTGCAACCTCTCAGTCTTTGTAAAAAAAAACAGCCAGCCTTTGAGCAGAAATACCCATTCAGGTCCAGGAACATCGCTAGCCACTCACTTTTGCATCTAAACAATAACTTATTTTGATTTTCTCCAGAAAAACTATGACAAGTGTGAAACCCGATAAAACACCAAGTATAAAATATGAATGTTTTTGGAAATGGAAAACTTCAAGACTATCATGTAAAACTTGCTATACGTCAACTACATTTGAATGTGCAGTTATGTGCTGTAGTATTTGTTAAGGTCTCATTGAGTTCAATCAAGACTTGAAGTTTTCTGAGACTAGTTAGTTAGTTATACTTAAAATGAAGCGACCCTCGTTGTTCTGGAGGGTCGCTTCTGCCTCACGTGTTGCACGTGCCGCAGTGGCCCCTGCTGTCCTCAGACTGGCTGCTCGTGGCTGCTCCACCTCCGCGTCCCTGCACACTGCTGTGGTTCGCAGTGTCTCCACTGCTTCCTCCTCCTCGCGGCCTTCTTTCTGCGGGCTGCCTCCGCGGGGTCCCCCCCCCACCCCCTCCGCGGGTTTTTGTGCTGCTCGTTCCTCTGTCTGCTGCCTAAAGAGCGCGCAGCGAACGGGTCTGGCGGTGCCGCTTGTCCCGTTGCTTATCCCCAGTCTCCTGGCATGCGAGGTAAATGAGGTGCCGACCGCGGAACAGATTAATCCCGGATTCTAGGCTGCAGGCGGCTGTTTTTGCCCTCGCACTTGACTGCAGCAGGCCTCAGTTTTCGCCCCTGCATGTCTGCAGGCTCCGTTTTCATTCACTCGTGGTTTGAGCTAACTGAGGGGCAATGCAGCTAAATGGCATCACTCTCTATTGTCTGAGGGATATAAGAGAGCAATTGCATTAATTCAGATCATGTTCTGCCCACTCGCATTAAAACCACGTTGGAAAAAATGTCAAAGACTACCCATCGTGCTCCAGACGGCACACAAACCAGAACTCTTGCCACGCCGCCTCTTTACAGCATTTATCACATTTACTCGCAGGTCACTATAGTTAAATGAATGTCATTTAAAATCGTCTAACTGCAGATGGAAGGAGGGCCATGCAATTAAATAGCTAGTACACTAGTATTAACATTTGTTAACTAAACTGCATTTGTTCATTTGAAAGTGCACAGCAGAAAGAAAAAAGGGCCAATGTGAATCGCAATGGGTTTGAAGTGGGAGTTGGAGCTATGAAACGCATGAAAACGTGATCGATCATTAGAGCTTCTACCATAAACCAAAGCAGCAGATGGCTTCCGGGACATCTGTTATTCGCATGGGAATGATTCGATTTGGGTTGATTTATATCCTCAGGCTGTTAAACAACCATGGGCATGGTCCTGACCGCCGCTGCTAGCCGTTTCCTACTGGCTGCCTGTTTCCTGCTGCCTGTTCCCCGCTGCTCGCTGTACTTCTGCCTGCTCCTGCTGCTCCTGCACTACATGTGCCGCTGCGCTGTTCCTCAGCCGCTGCCGCTCCACCGCGTCTCCCAGGCTGCACCGTCTCTAAACGCTCGGCTCTTTCCAGACACGATGTAACCTGGCTCACAGAGACCATGCGGCGCACACAGCAGGCGTGACATCACGTCTGTTGTTCGTTATGAATCGCATTTGTGGTGCTACAGCTCCTCTAATTCTGCTTCTGCTGCGTCATACTGCTACGCTACCGCAGCTACTTTTGCTGCTATTCGCTGACGACTGCCGGGCATCCATACAGCAACTGCTAGCCGTGCTGCTGCTCGCTTCTTTACTTTGTACCACCTCTCTTCACTTCGCATCCTTCTACTGACACACTAAACAGCAACAACAATATTCTAGCTGCTGTGTGGCTTTGAGACAGAATACTTGCTGTATTATATGACGGATGCTGCAAACTGCTTGCTGCTGCAGCTGCATCATACTGCTACTGCTGCTACTGCTGCTGCTTCATACTGCTTACAGCTGCGCTAGCTAAGTCGTTTACTTTCCATCTCTCATCACCTGCATCTCTTTTACTGAAACACTGAACAGCTACAACAACATTCTAACTGCTGTGGCTTTGCACAAAATCCACCTACATTTTCTATGACAAGTATGAGGAAGGGTATAGATGGTAGAAAGCTGGGAGTGCTACTTTGATATCTGGTCTGTGGGGATTGGCTTTAATAGTCTGTAGAATGACAAACTGTTGGATTTGAACAATTCCCATTTCACAGCGGTGGCGATGAATCAAAAAGTGTAGAAAATGAACTCTATTCTATATAATGATTGGAGGGAATAACGAAGAAGGAATGTTTGTTTTAATGCCCTTGCAGCCCTTGTCAAAGAGTCTGGTCTGCCACAAAGGTAATGGTGAGGAAGCTACTCTCTTTTCATGAGTTTGGGTTTGAATGCAGCCGGAGTGCGCGTTCAGAAGTAATGCAGGCCTATTCAACATGCAGCTCAGGGGCCAAATCATGGTCCTCAATACATTCTAATCAGGCCCTTGATGCACCAGCTAAATGCAAATATTATCCAAAATAAGTTTGTGTAATCTCTCAGTCGTACAGGGATTAGTCAAAGCAAAGGAAGGTTTCTCACCCATCATCTGTACTTCTTAGAAAGTTTTCCCGACGTTTCGTCCTCAAACTAGCGGACTTCTTCAGGGAATGAATTCTCGGACCGCGCGTTGGAGATTTATAACCTATGGGTGTGGTTAGCCACACCCTAATCCTGATACTAACTCATAAACAATCTAAGGTCTGCTTGATGTAGAAGGGAGCAGGTCTAACGACCCTGCTGAGGCTAGCGACCCTAACTCCTTAGCATGTCACAGACCTATTGTCTGCTGGGATGCTCAAGTGGAGTGCAGGTCTCACCCCTCCTAACCATAATACATCCATGCTCCTAACTCATTAGCATGTCACTGACCTTGTCCCAAGTTAGGGCGTTGTTTTTAGGATGAATTGCTTTGTCCTAGTTCAGGATTTGGTTCAATATTGATTCTTTAAATTAAAAAAAAAACAAATGTTTAGAATAAGTAGTAACACCACTGGAGGGCATCCTAATACATTTACCCCACAACAGACATTTCCACGATTCCTAATGAATGTAGGTGTAGTAACTGTTAACATTTCTCAGCATTGACTATTTTGATCATTTGTATACATAATAATAATTCAATCGATTCTTTATTTTTTTTTATTTCTGATTGAAAAACAAAACAAATTGGATTTTAGTTTCGTTCAAAGTAGTTTGTGTAGTCCCAAGAGACCGCGACCCTCTGAGAAATCTGTCCCGGAAAAAATACATTGAAAAGACCTGGTGTAGTGTAATCCCCTGCTCGCCCACCAGATGGCACTGCGACACCACTGTATTTCCTCAGTGAACAGGTGCTCTCTGTTCTGACTGGGATTCGAACCCGCGATTCCACATTACATTCACCACTACACCACACTACACCACACTGTCTCGTGACGTCTCTATTCGAGCCCCGCGTGCACCTTACGCTTCCGCACGAGGATAGTGGTTCTTTTTCCCGACACACGACACCTCATAACCGGGGAGAGACCGAGGCGAGCAGAGGCGGGCGGTGGAGGAGGAGTCTACGGGCAGAAAGACCACCTGTGACCGGGGAGGAGTGAGAGAGAAGCGGCCACAGATACTTCCAGTGTGACCGAGCGCGTCGCCGTGAACAGGCTGTTTGTTTGTCCGGGTAAAGTCCGCACCACACGCGGATGTTAGCTGGACTTTGGTGACATTTCACTGCGAGGTAAGTCTGTTTTATGATGACTGGTTGTAAAATGTGTCTTATCTACATGTGGGGCTGAGGAGTTTAAATAGGAAAACTCCTTTGGTCAGGTCTTGAGATGTTCTATTTGTCCATCTTTTGTAATTCAGGTAACAGCCAAATAATATAGTCTCTTTACATGATTTAACATGTTTGAATATCCAACATCATTCATACAAACCCGTCACACACAGTGACCAGTTTTCTCCAGCACATTGATCAACATTAGATATACAGAGAATCTTGTTCCTAATGATTTAAAAGGAGCCCCCAGTGTTCTCTCAAGGAGCCAAACTGGGTCGTGAGAAATGTAATCAAGAGATGGCATCTTTTTGAGTATTGTAACAAAATGTTTTTGTCATGTGTTTTGAGACTGTAGATTCTCAGGCATTTGGAGGGATACCTAACTGTACTTTGTACTTGCCAGATTGGATTTTCTTTAAGTTTTTACAGGTGAAAATATTTAATCTGAAGGTTGCAGTTCCCTCTTAAAGGTACCTTCTTACAATGCGGTATTGTTCAATCATTAAATAAACGTCAGTTTAGAATTAAATACAGGCTCCTGTTATGTGGTGCATTTAAATGCAAACCTCTCACTAGTTAAATCTGGTACATGGTTTGGTGTCTGCTTCATTTGAGTGGATTTAAAAATATCATATCAATCTGCCTTTACATATTCAAAGGCAGTTAAACCTAATTGTGTTTCTTTTCATTTTCTATGCGGAAAATATAGTATCAAAGGATAGGAGGATTATTACGGGAGGTTTTTCCCAAATTTTAGGAAAGAAGCGCTCTCTGGTCTTATTTGATGAGCTTGTATCACCAGAATGATTGAAAATTGGGAGGACCAATATACTTGATGATCCACCTGGAAGTAGAACATCCTCCTATATACCTTTTTAAGTGTCTTTGTTGGTCTCATTTATCACTGTTTTCCACCTTCTGTGTTGCTTTGATGTTCCTCAATTATATTTAGTTGTGTACAATATTTAGTAAGAGGACGCATCTTTTTTGGAGCCAGAACCAATTCCCATTCTTGTCTGTGCTAGAGTTTTTTTTTCCACCTTATCCGGGTCACAGGAGACTCTAAACCGAGACACCCAGACTTCCCTACCCACTCACACTTCCTCCAGCTCATTTGGGGAATCTCAAGGTTCTCCCAGGCCAGCTGAAGGACACAGTTCCTCCAAGTGGGACATGTCAGGACAGGAGCACGTCCTCCACCATTGTGCTCTGTCAATTACCAATTCATTGTAATTATTTATTTTAAAAATAAGTCATACATATTAATATCTAAAGAAATCAAGCCTATTCTTTGATCGACCACTAACACTTGGTAAAAGCATATATATATGTATGTATGCATGTGCGCTGCAACATTGAAATTTCCCCAATGTGGGACAAATAAAGGATCTCTTATTTTATATTGCTAGTAAATGATGAATATTGTGTGTCTTAATCACTTACAGTAAATGCATATTACGTTTATGAATGACACCGTGAACTTCTCTTTTCACTGTGACCTTTTACAGTCAGCAATAACAGATGTGGTTTGGAATATAACCCGTAAATTCTGCAGATTGTGAACTTTAAATGTAGGTCTAATGTGTTTATTATGGGGAAGCTAGAGTTTCACAAAATGAGTTTGTGGTTGAGTGGGGGCTGTAACCACCAATGATTATTTAAAAAAAAAAAAATTAAAAATTGGTGTAATCCTGGTCCAATTACATCGAGACTTTAAAATCTACACCATAATAAATCATTCAGTCCCTTTTCAAGTCTCAGAAAAGAAAGGTACCTGGATTCTGAAAGCCTTTCCACAGATATGAGTTGTTACTTAGCATGATGTCAGTCCAGTTTTTAACATCACACACTGGAAGACTGCCTTAGTTTATGTAAAGGCAGCCAGCAGACCCTCCACTGAAAGTCGTAGAAAGCCCCTTAATAATGAGTCTCTTGAGTAGAATATAGTAAAGATTAGGAAACAGTTTAGAGTGAGTGGATGTGTTTTGGAAGTAAAAGCGAATTGCGAAAACAAGCGTAAACTCATGACTTGGGAGTTCGGTTCAGGAGGTCAGTACAAATAATAAAGGCTGTGTAGTGTTTTTCCCGCTTTACCACGTCATGCTCTCTCACCCCTTTCCTTTTAAATTAATGTTACACAGATTGTCCAGTACTCCTCCATCTTGGCCCGGAGCCAAAGCACATGTGCTGGTGTTACGTCAATAACGCAGCACCTGTCGCATGTGGGATCAATCTTAGTAAACAACACCATTTAACACATATTCCGTGTTGTGTTTTGTTAGAATGGACACACGAGAACCAACACTTCTTCAATGTTGTGGAATGGTTAAAAGTCAATAAATTTTATGTACAAATATTTCTTGTAGAATTTTAATCACATTCAAAATTAATTGACAATATAAGCTACAATAGTGCCTCTAGTGGCCAAAATGCTCTTATATTTACTGTCTGATCTCAGCTGTAGTGAAAGACTATAAGGAAACTGTTAAAAAACTGAACCAAATCATGATATTTTGATTTTCTTTAAATAAAATGACAGATCTTTTTAAGGACTAGTTTAAAGGAATCCATATAGTAAAGTTGATTAATGTAAACAAAGACACAAGCGTCGGGCAGGTGCGAGAGACTGTAAAGTTCCATTTAGAAGTACTTACTTTGATTTCACACCCACACACTTGGAATTTGGTCCCAACAGAACAAAGAACGGCCACATAAGATCACACCTTTTTATAGCAAATCTATTGAACTGTGCGGCTGTTGGACAATCAGACGCAATGACTGAACTCCACATTCAACCTTAAAGCTTATTCACAAACTGCAGAAAGTAGAACTCCCTTCTGATTATTTCTAACACTTTGGCGTATCATTAGTTTTAACATCTATAGTACAATAAGCCCCTTTAAGTCACTAATGCACTAGGACTGAAAAACCTGCACTGCTAACTGCTATTGCCACTTTTTTATTGTACATAATTATATCCTGCACAGACTAAATATACAGTATTTTAACCTTTAACATGTTGCACACTTCTGTCTTTTGCACAGTCTGAGTGATTCTATCTGTACCAAATGTGACATGTAAATTTCTCCAGTGTGAGATCAATAAAGTCTATCTTATCTATAGTAATTGACATCTATCCCAGGCTTAGTACGTTTTTTTAGACAGACCAGTAACTAAAGATCGCAACCCTTGCTCACTCAATCTGCTCTCAGCCCAAATTGTTGTAGTGACTCACACTGGTCTACAAGAAGGTCTGATATTGATATTCTCAGTCTGCGGGAGAAAACATTTACCATTTGATATGAGCAGGTGCCCCAGCGGTGAGGGTTTTGCACCTGCAGATGACTACACGGGGAGAGGACCTCACATGTTGAATGACCACTTGCATTGGAATCTGAGTTGATTGAAGAACAACAAATGTGATGTGTAAAAAATACTGAACTTTCAAAGTAAAGATTTGACAAATTAAATCACATGGAAGGCAGTTGGACTTATCGGAACCGGTCGCCTTTGTGTTGTTTGGCCTTGAGAGAGTGGCAGTGATGAAAGTTGGCACACTCCTCTGTTATGGTTCTGTTCTGTTCAGATATGGAAATAAACTGTAGGTGCTAAGTGGTTTAACGGGACACTATTGAATGTGTGTTAATGAGTTTCACCAAAATAATCTCTATGGCTTCACTTAATTAATATTAACTGACCATGCGTTGTAATGAAGATATACTGTGATTGATTTGGCCTCACTGAACTGCAGTAAAAAGCGAGAGAGCAGATCCCAGGGTGTAGAGAGTCAGATTGAACACTACACAAAATGTGTGAATTCTTAGTGTGATTAAATATGTTCTATTTACTCTTGAACAGTTTTGGAAAGTACGGTCCTAAAGTCTGTGTTGTGGGAATCGTTTTAGATGCCCTTCATCAATAGAAAAATTCAATATTCTCTTCAATCAGTCAACTTCATATCATTGCTACTTTGAATTTGGCTTCGTTGTGGGTGTTGCGAGTTGGAAAGGGTCGCAAACTCCTGGTTTAGGGAACAGCGTCAACTTTGCATTGCCACCTTTTTAACGGGGCTAATGATGGGACATGGATTGTATTTTTGCTGGATGCCTATTTTGATGGTTTCAACGATAAAAAGTTTAGATTTGTGTATTTCTAAATATATTTTTAAACCATTTGGAAGCATTTGGGTTGACATATTATTTGGAAACTCAGCTGAAAACGTATAGACCTAATATACTGTATATCATTTTAGCTGTGCATAGAACTGATTCTATTTTGTACTATTTATTTCGTTTATCTCTCCTTTTTAAACCCAAACTTTTATGCTGCTCTATTATAATATGAAATGATATTTTATTGACCTGTTTTTTGTTTGTTTTTATACATTTTCATCTGTGTTTTTAAATTGATCTTGTGAAGCACTTTGAATTGCCTTGTACACAAATTGTGCTATACAAATAAATGATTGATTGATTGAAAATTCCATTATTTGAATGAACAAAGCTCCTTGTCGAGAGATGGTGAAGTGATTGTTTAAAGAAGTAGGAACTTGTTAATGTTGTACTGTTTCCAAAGGACTATTGCCTTTTTGTATAAGAGTCATGTCCATTGTATCGTCTCATTCATCCCGTTATAATAGCTCTACCATCACTTCTAAGTCTTACAAATAGTTCCAATCAGCGTCTTGGTGCCACGAGGACAAAAATGACTTTTTCTGGCACAAAGTTTCGCTCAGTTCCCTCGCGCTGCCTTTGTCAAAGCCTCTTGTCTGTGAAACTTCAGCTCTTTAAACCGTGCTTTATTCCGGCTGCAGCACTTCTGAATGGCTTTGACTGTTAATAGCGTCTCCTATTTGTTCCCCTTACACACAGGAGGCTTGCAGTCCTAAGGGAGAAGAACCACTGCTGCTGTTGTTGTTGTTATGTTGATACCGCACTGCACCAATTTCTCCCATTCAGGCAGGTTTGTAGAAATAACTTCGTAATAGGCAGATAATAATAGGCAGCAATTTCAGTTCAGGAGACACAAAGGCGGGAGTAAAGTTTTTGAGAACGGAGGAGCTGAGTGGTTATCCTCCAGGCTCATTTCATTGTATTATTTTTTTTTGTGCAAAGTTGAGACTCAAAAGCTCAATGGTACATTAAGTATTTAACGCCACAGAGGGGTTTTGATAGTCCAGGCTGTATTGAGAGTAAAGGAAGAATCAAAAGTAAGGCATTTAAATTGAAATGACGGTGAATAGGAATTGGTTATAGTGGTGAATGTCCTATTAACTATTTATGGAGCGCTTTTTGAATTGGCTCGCTTTGGTTATACTTGTGAATAATGCTAATGTGATGCAGAGAAACCTGTTCAGCAGAGGCAATATTATGCTTTTAAATTTTAGTTTTTAAAGTTTCATAAGCTTCTCCTTTTAAAGCAATTGAGACACAAACGGCCTTGCTGCCAATCAATAGACAATGAATGATTTTAAATCGAAAGCAATAAGGACGCTCGTCTGAGCATCTGTGACGGCACCAATAAGCGTTTGCTTTGACCAAAACCAAAAACATCAAGTGGAAAATCACTGACTTCTGCAAACTGCAAACTGTTCAACTTTAACATAGTTGTATTAAAAGATCCATTAACCCTCCCTTTGGTCACACTATCACATGTGACCATCAGAATGAATGAAAAACAACATAAAATCATAACTCAAAAACGTATAAAACCATAAAACTTCAGAAAACATGTTCAGGCCTTTCATAAAACTCATCATCAACCTTTAGAAACATGTCAACCCTCTTCCTCAGTACATTTGGTGGTTTACACATATTGCTTTGAAAACAGCCTTTTCCTATTTCTGCATTGATTTCTTCTTCAGGTTGAATTTAATTCTCGTGTCGAGTCGTGAATTCTTCTTTGAGGCGTCTTTCATCCTCTAGGTTCAGATTTAGTAGTTTCCGAATTCAGCAAACCCATTCTGTGGGTAAAATGGCTAAAAAATAAAATGGCTTCAAGCTTCAGAAAACCAAAAATCAAGTGGAAAATCACTGACTTCTTCTTCATAATGTGTTTTATTTTAAAAAGGGTTATTCCAATTGGAAATTAAAGCCACTGGTGAAATGTGAGCGTATATAAAATCACCAGTTAAATTGAGTAATCTGATTACTACTACTACTACTACTACTACTACAGTTAAATTGAGTGTTCAGTCCCTATTTTTAATAACCCAAAAGTAACTCTTGAACTTTCTATCTATATTCCTAGAAAGAAAAGGATGGCATTTTACTAAAATCAGATAATTTAATCTATCAATCATTATTTGAACATTCCAGAGACTTAAATACAGCGAGAAAAGGCTATAATTACAACAGATTGACATGGATTAATTTTTTCCATATATTTATAATCGAACAACCAAATGTCACATTTAGTCTTTTTGAAGATGTCCTTGAGTGGCATTGTTCACGCATCCTTTTTTCCACAGATTTAAACTACTAATCGATGGATCCTACTGTTAATCGATTATCAAAATAGTTGTAAATTACAGCCCAAGTTTATATACTTTTTGTTTATGTATTTCATTGTTAGAGGCTGATTTCTTTTACAAAAGTGCGGAGGTAATTTTTGCCCCCTTCTTGGCTTTTCTGCTCTTCCTTATTTCTATAATTGTATCATTCGCATAGCGTCGATTGGCAGGATTCTGAACCTTGTCAAAATAGAGCATGATTTTCTTCGGGACTGTCACATAGACGCCCCTCTGTCAAACTGCGGAGGGCAGAATGCAAGCTTTGGATTGTCTAACAGCAGTTCATCCACACATATTTACTTCCTACGCAACTCTTTTGTATTCTGGGATCATTTCTGAGCCCGCCTGATCCGTAACTTTTGATATTCTCTCTGTTTCCAGGGAGTGTATTTACAACGCGGCTTAAGATACAAAACCAGATTTGGACAGGATTTGAGAAGACCAAAGAGCTCCGAGACGTTACCCAAAGGACAGAAATGCACAGGTAATTTGACATTTCACAGATGCCTATCGTGGCTAACAACATGTGGAGCAGACATACCGACAGCAAGTTTGAAATTTACAAGCTGCTTTCGAGACATCCTCAGTGGCCTAAGAACACTTAAACTCGCACAGAAATAAGTTGTTTTGACAGTAATGCATTTCACAGCACAGATGGACGCCGCAATAGTAAAGCCACTGCGTTTATTCAGTTCCCAGTGGTGGCTGTTTGACGGTGTAGCGAAGAAAGGTGGTATCCAAATATTCTCTGTGTTTGCAATGGACTTGTGCAAGCTCTGATCGTACCTGAGGACACCTTTGGTAATCAGATAGATATTAGCACTGGTAAAATTGTAAAAAAAAGAACTAATTTAACTAATTTTTGCCTTACTGTAGTTGTTGTCCTTTGTCATTAATTTCACAAACTGTCGCCTTCATAAACAAGTAAAGATAAATAATAACAGTACATCAGTGTAGGAAGAATAGATAAATAAAAAAAAAAGAACAGATAAGATTTTCTGGTTCAAAGTTGTTTTTAGAGCAACGCTTGCTTATTTGAGTAATTTATATACTCCTGAAGGCGAGATGCCATTGCTGGCCCCTCTGGCTTCTCTGGCCCCTCTGGCTGCTCTGGCTCCTCCGTCTCCTCTGGCTTCTCTGGCCATCGCCACAGCCACTGTTTGTTCTTACTTTGTTCCCATTTTCTTTATGAATCTGTGATATGCGGATGATTCAATATTGTTGCTCTGGCATTTTTGCTGAAATTATAAAACAAACATGACGGCAAACTCCTAATACATGCAATCAATCAAGATGTTTATTTGCAAAACCTGCACAACACTGTTTTACACAACATAACACCAGATTAACAGACAAAAAACCTCTCCCCTTGTGTGAATACAAATAAAACTGGACTTTGACAACATTAGACACCCACTTTGATTTGATAGCATCCTTTTTAGTTCATCTTTTAAATGTTGAGATGAAAACACTGCATACGCCTTCAGTTAGGAAGCTACCAGAACACGCAGCAAGCTCGTTCAATATTTGCAATGTGTAATATTAAACAAAGCAAAGTGACAGTGCCACAAGAGCAGGACGTGAGCACACACAGCAGTGGAGGCAGAGACACGTTCAATTGTACCATGAGTTGTCAGAGGGTTTGGATCCTGTGTTCTAAAAATACAGGGCCAGACAAGAACACATCCCACAGCAGGTCTGCAGCTCTGTGGTTATCGTCTACTTCGGTTTACTCAGGATGCATTTATATTCATAATGATTACACCTTCAGCTCCAATAACTTTGGGGGAGATTAAAAACAAAACAATGTTCGGGTTGTTCAACATTGGGAGAAAGGCCATTTGTTTAATCTGTGCTGGTTTATCCAATATGAATCACAGAGCTTGTGTCAAGTCTGAGTGCACACCGGCGCTTTCCTAATATCAGCGCACACAATGACGCCCACTTCTGTCTGCGTTTTAGCCATGGATATGTTATAATATCTGGATGGAGTATTACTAGCTCGGAGCTGAAGGATCCACGTGCTCGGGGGATTCTCAAGGGACTAAATTCATGTGCGCTACCCAGAAATGTTCTTCATAGAACTCAATGTGAACTAGAACACCTCAACCTCAGCCGATGGAGAACCTTTGGCTTTCATAAAGGTCGGATTTTGTGGGGATTTTAGTGTCCCAAATCATCCTGAACTTTTTTTTGTCTTAAATCTTTTGGTTTTCTATAAGCCCTCTTTAATCTGCAGCTCTGATTGGTCAAAGCGTGGCCGTGCCCCACTGTGCACATGCATGAGAGCCACACACACGTATTTGGCGTAACGCATCATGGGTCCACTGCGCAGAACCGGGAGGACCAGACAATGCCCCAATATGGGGGGGTTCCGCTAATCTTTCGGTCCCCATGGTGGCCCATGCATCAATCGATCAATCGATCGATCGATTCACTACTGGGCACAAGCCATTGATTTGAATAGGACGCCATCTTGGATCAGATAAAAATTAACCACCCGACAAACTTCATATTTTCTGACATGACATCAGAGGATATAAAAGATTTTAACCTTTATTCTACAGCAGGCCAGAAAAGGGAGAGTCGTGTTTTGACTGTAGCTGTAGAGAACATGCTGATCCTAGAGACTTGAACCATGACAAACACAGAGCTGACTGTTACATAAGACCAGGGACACACCGAGCCAGAGGAGCAGCTGCTGATGCAGTACTGGTCCCGGTTCTAGTCCCGGTCCAGTCCCGTACAAACTTCAATGCTAACGTTTCTCAATCTAACTTGGGGCTATTCAACACTGTCCTCAAATAATTGAGTGGCTTCTTCCAACCAAGCAGGAGCACACCGGACTCCACCCATTTCCTCAAATCTTCAGGTCATCACTGGACTCCATCCATCCATCCATTTTCTTCCCCTTAATCAATTTCTGGGTCTTGGGGTTGGCCAGAGAGGCCACTCATTACACATAGTGCAGTCCCTCAGTGATCCTCCTGCAGGTGGTGAGTCCACATGAGGACGGCTGCTCTATGGCATAGACTTGGTCTTTCAGCGGGGGCTTCAGGCAAGTTAGGATTAAGTGTCTTGCCCAAGGACACAACGACATCAGTGGGAATCGGTGGGAAAGTTCTCACGGTCAGTTTGGGAGATTTTGCCTCTTTTTTGGCCCCTCTGACCTCTGGAGTCCCTCAAGGATCAATCCTTGGTCCTTTTTTTTTTCGTTATACAGTGGGTCAGCCACCGATTGTGCAAGTTCTCCCACTTAAAATAATGACAGTGGTCTGCAATTTTCATCATAGGTACAGTTCAACTGTGAGAGACAGAATGTGAAAAAAAAATCTAGGAATTCACATTGTAGGATTTTTAAATAATTTATTTGTGAATTATGGTGGTCACTTCAAACAAAGAAGATCTCTGGCTCTCACAGACCTGTAACTTCTTCTTTAAGAAGCTCTTCTGTCCTCCACTCGTTACCTGTATTAATGGCACCTGTTTGAACTCGATATTTGTATAAAAGATAGCCCAAATGTAGCCCAAAACGATATTTCAACTAGGGATGTAAATCGGCGACCGTTTAACCGGTGGTTGACCGTCACAGCGTTAACCGGTCAAAGCTGTCGGTTAAAAAAGAGAAAAAGGGGAGAGGGGAGGTCTCTTAATAACGCTATTTTAAGCCCTATTTGCACGGTGTGACGAGCGGGTCTGTATCTAGCTGTGTGCGCCCATGTATTATAAACTCCGGGACGACTCTCACGCCGCACGAGCCACATATGCGCACGCGCGCACGTAGCACGCACACACACACACACGCACACACACACACACACACACACACACACACACACACACACACACACACACACACACACGCACACACACACATTCCCCCTCTCCATACGTAACATCCACACGCATCATCTCTCCCCTCTGTTACCGTCAAAGTTGCACACTGGCGCGGGTCAGAACTACATTGGAGCTTACATTTACACACACATATACATATACATACACACACACATACACACACACATACATACACACACACATACACACACACATACCGGTCTGTCGCGCTCCTCTGTGTCACGGAGCCCAAAGGATTCGCACAAATACGCGGCTCCAGTCAAACCACATGGAAGATGTTTGTGTTTATGGTCCTCGGGATCAGCTCCACACACATCACTTGTATTTAAACTTTTGTGAAGACCTGTGAGACGCGGCTCGTCACTCGCTGCTCTGACCATGTGAACGAGCCGTCGTTTGCTGCTAGAAAGTTTTGGTATTAACCCGCAGCACAGCAGAATGGGAAGATTAAAAAAGCAGTTCTCTGTGCCAAGGTGCCGAAGCTGTTGCGGGTTTGGGCGCCGCTGTCTCAGCTCTGATCCAGTAGAACGCAGAGCTGCACTTATGAAAAGTACGCGGCTCGAAATGGCTGTTATTTCAAAGAACGTGGACTATTTTAAACTACGCGGTTAACCGGTTTCAACCGGTTAATGAGGCTCTGTGGTCGGTCATGAAAATTCATAGTTTTTTACATTCCTAATTTCAACCACTGATAATCTCCCTTGATCTGGGGCTCCACGCAAGATCTCATCCCGTGGGGTTATAATGATCATGAGAACGGTGATCAAAAATCCCAGAACCACACGGGGGGACCTGGTGAATGACCTGCAGAGAGCTGGGACCAAAGTAACAAAGTAACATCAGTAACACACTACGACGACAGGGAATCAGATCCTGCAGTGCCAGACGTGTCCCCCTGCTGAAGCCAGTGCATGTCCAGGCCCGTCTGAAGTTTGCCAGAGAGCACATGGATGAGTCAGCAGAGGACTGGGAGAATGTCATGTGGTCAGATGAAACCAAAGTAGAACTGTTTGGTATAAACTCGACTCGTTGTGTTTGGAGGAAGAGGAATACTGAGTTGCATCCCAAGAACACCATACCTACTGTGAAGCATGGGGGTGGAAACGTCATGCTTTGGGGCTGTTTTTCTGGGGACAGGACGACTGATCTGTGTTAAGGAAAGAATGAATAAGGCCATGTATCGTGAGATTTTGAGCCAAAACCTCCTTCCATTGAGTTGAATTTCTGTTATTGACCAAATAATTATTTTCCACCATTATTTACAAATACATTCTTTAAAAATCCTACAATGTGAATTCCTGGATTTTTTTTTTTTCACATTCTGTCTCTCACAGTTGAACTGTACCTATGATGAAAATTGCAGACCACTGTCATTATTTTAAGTGGGAGAACTTGCACAATTGGTGGCTGAATAAATACTTTTTTGCCCCACTGTATATGCTCCCTCTTGAACCCATCCTGAAAAAGCATGATGTTGGCTTTCATTTTTATGCAGACGACGATTGTCAAATTTATTTACCACTGAAAAACAGTGATGGACATGATTCTGCCTCTCTCTTGGACTGTTTGAAGGATCTACAATCATGGATGTCTTTAAACTTTCTGAACCTCAACCAGGAGAAAACTGAAGTAATTGCTTTTAGCCCGAGTAGTGGCCACACTCCCTCTGCCTATCTGGGGTTTTTAAATGACTCCATAAAGCCAGCAGTGACAAATCTGGGTGTTAGGCTGGACACTAACCTGAAACTTGACCAGCAGATTTCAAAAGTCGTCAAAGCAAGCTTTTTTCAGCTAAGGCAACTTGCAAAAATGAAGCCTATTTTAACAAAGCAGCACTTTGAGACATGCTTTTGTGACAACCCGATTAGATTATGCACTTTACTGTGGGCTGAGCACTTTCTCGGCTGCAGCTCGTCCAAAATTTTGCAGCTCGACTTTTAACTGGAACTCGCATGTGAGCATGTTACACCGGTTTTAAAATCTCTTCTCTGGCTTCCATTGGGTTTTAGAATTGATTTTAAAATTATTTTATTTGCTTTTTAAATGTTTAAATGGCCTGGCCCCCTCCTACCTTGTGATATTATTCTGCCCTATGTTCCCTCTCGCGCCCTGAGGTTGGCAGATCAGCTGATGCTGGTGGTCACAGTGGTGGTTAAGACACAGCGTAAGCTTCGTGGTGACCGAGCTTTTTCTGTTGCAGGTCCACGTCTTTGGAATCAGTTACCCATTGAGATTAGACAGGATCAGTCTCTGCACGTTTTTAAGTCACTTCTTAAAACTCTTTTTTTCACTTGCTTTTGATAATGTCTGATCTTAGGTGTTATTGTTTTATATGTATTTTTTTAGTCTAATGTGTTTGTTTTGTGTACAGCACTTTGGCTGAACTGTAAAGTTTTTAAAGTGCTTTATAAATAAAGCTGGTATGGTATCACTGGATTCACTCAAGAAAATGGGTTGAGTCTGTTGTGCTGCTGCTTAGTTGGAATGAAAACCTGCAGCCACTCTGCCCTTTGAGGACCCTTTGAGTCAAGGCAAGGCCACACATGGGATGTTCAGCAGTAGGGCATTAAGGTTTCCACTAACTTGGAGTAAAACATTTTAGAGTCACTATTATAAATATGTTTTCAAAATTCTTCGTTCCTATTTATTGATCCTTTTTCTTTGCAAAAATAGTAGCATTTACATACTTTTGTACTTGCTAAAATTAAATTGACATAAACTGACATAACAAGAATTGTACTAAGCTTACATTTTCTTCTGCTGAGTGGTTAGCACTCTTGCTTCTCAGTAAGAAGGTCCTGGGTTTGAATCCCGGTCAGAACAGGGCCTTTAAGTGCAGTGTCTCTGAAGTGTAATGTAACATATGTAGAACACACAACACCTCTCCTAAGTATGTGTCTATGTAAACGATGTCTGCATGTCTTTGCACCAGTTGTTTGGTTTAGTTCAGTTGTAATAGTGATAAGAAACAGGGTGACGATAGACATAAAGTGGCTTAAAGAACGTCCAGCACTCAAGGTCAAAGCTTTGTGTTGTTGGCCTCAGATAACCTCAGCCACAACTGCCAAAGGCTCATTATTAATTGGTTCAACACTACGTTTTGGGTGCAATATTCTTTGGACAGATATATTGACAATGGAAACTGTATATATGTATTTTTTCTTCAATATGAGCCAATAAGATTTAAGCTTGATAATACATGTTGTGTATCCCGACTCCCAACAGAAAGAGTATCATAAAAGTATAAGTTTGTGAACAAATCAGACCAAATCAATTATCTTATACATTTTTTTTTTTTTTATAATTTACTTGAAAGGAAGTGCCCTGTGAGTCACTACTTGACACTTTTACTGATTGGCTGAGTGAGGGTAGTTAACTATTTTCACTCTGTCTGAAAAAGTGGATCTAAAGATGTGACAAAGGCCAAAAATACATGTGAAAACTGGTGATGGATGGTACTGGTTTTAAAGATAGATTTGGTGGTTTTGTGATTTTGTGGTTATAAAGCTAGTTCTCCAAGCTTTAGATAATATAATCACTTTGAAAGAATGGATCGCCTGTTTACGTATTCATTATTTGTGTGCATTTGCTGATAACATTCGTATAGCCGTATATTTTGCATCTGTTTTTAGACTTCAATCAAGTCTTTCCCGTCGAATGACTTCAGACTTCAGACGGGGAGTGAAGTGCGGCCCGTGTCAGTGTTTAGTCAGCGGAGAGAGGGAGTGCACCCAAGCATTTGATGGTGACTTTGGAGTTCTCAGTCTTCACACAGCTCCTCACAAAAGCTGAAATAACATTTGGCTTCCCCGCTGCTCGCACACCAAACACACATTACCATATTTTGCAAAAGCCCGTCTCCTCCGGCTCGATCTGTCGGCTGCAGGTAACAGACGTGTGCAGCGTGAACGTCCAGGACTAATTGAGCTTCATCTACGAGGAAATAGTTCAGATATATTGTGGATATATTGCTCAAGCGGCAGTTAAAGTTAAAAGGTGATTTCTGTGCAAAGAGATGAGTCATGATTATTTGGTTAATCATTAATCACAATTATTCAGGTTGCGCTGCATGTTTTTAATGTGTGTGAAGAATGATTTTGAACTTTATGAGACGTAGACCATAAATGTAGACTAGTAGATATAATTCAAGATTAGAATAGGAACCAAGCTACAAAATGTATGCCTGTGAAAACTAGTTTGGAACCAGAAACTCCTTTTGAGTGTTACATACAGGTAGATTTGATTATTAAAGAAGTTTTAAAGTGAGGTATGGCAGCTTTACCCTGTTTTAATGAAGTAAATTTCTTCCCAAACTTGTGTTCTAGCCATATCCTACCATGTGTGTTAGTTCCTCCTTTTCGTAATGGTGTTTTCCTTGAGTTTGTTCAGACAGTGGGAATGTGAGCTTACATATCCTCCCTGACCGCGAGGCCAACAACCTCCCCGCAGTGCATTGATCTCTCGTACAAAAGCGCCATGTTTTATTGAGCAACGCAAAGGAACGAGTTGCATTGAGTGTCGTCATGGTGTTGCAGTTCACTTTGGCTTTTGATTTGCCTTGATTAACAAAAGGCACCTGGGATTAATACTAACGTACACGTTTGTTTGTGATACACCATTTGAACATCTGGATTGTGTCCATTCTGTTGCATTGAAAATTATGAAATGCCTCAAACACAATTGTCCTGAATAGACTCTATCCAAAATATCAGATTGAGAAAAGGGAATGATAGATTTGTCAGTAGAAATTGGTTGGGAAGAGGTGCATATAGGGAGATTGAGGTGGCTGATAGTGATTCTGCTGTGGGTGGATGATTGGAGTGGATGAAAAACGCTGACAGGTTCAATCCAATTTATTTTTTTATAGCCCTAAATCACAACAGCAGTCGTCTCAAAGAACTTTACAGGACTTTAAGTCATCGGAGTCATTGGTACATAGGCAGCGTGACAACTAATGTTAAGAAATGTCCATAGATGTCCTTAAATGTCCCGGGTCATCATTCTTCTTGGACTCTCCTGCATCAGCAAGGAACAAGAGTAGGAAATAAGTTAAGAAACTTCACAATGAGAGATGCATCCACTCCCACCGACGGACAGGGTATAGATCCAGGACTCGGGCTGTATAACCAGGACTGAGGCTGTGTGGTGCAGCACGGAAGAGTCTCCCAGGGAAAGATAAATCAATTAATATATATTTTTTCTGCTTACAAATCCATCTGCAAATTATGGTCCTCTATTCATCACTTGTACAAGGACATAATATCTTTTCTCTCATTTTGCAAAACTAACCATGTGTTTGCTCCGTTCTAGGCTCTACATGAACATGTTTGACTGAGCGTTTGTGGCTGCAGTCTCGTCGACCAGTGTCCCATGTCCTGTGAGATGTGCCCGCTTGTGCGCCTGCTCCTGCTCTCCGCCTGGGCTGGGGTGGTTCTCTGCTACCCCTTCAGAACCCCCGTGGAGCTGGACGTCACCCCACGCATCACGGTGCCCATCCAAAGTAAGATGTTAGGAAAGGAACGTTACAGTTACAATACGTACTATATCGAATCATAACTTCATGTGCTCAAGATTGAATCTGAGGTACCTAACAACAATACAAAATATATATATATGTATTCAGAGTCAATCGTGGCCATACCTGCACGTGAAAGCCAGATCTCGTCAGACGTTTGATGATAAGCAGAACAGGACCTGGTTATTACTGTGATGGGAGACACCAGCTGCCACAGTGGGGCGGCTGCAGCTATAAAGTGCAAAACTGTTATTGTGTCCTTAGGCAAGACACTTCACCCACATTACCTTGAATGAGTCTAGTGTGTGTGTGAATGGTTGGTGGTGGTTGGAGGGGCTGATGGCACATACTGGTTGCCTTGCTTCTGTCGGTGTGCCCCAGGGCAGCTGTAGCTACAGTAGTAGTTTTTCACCACCGTGTATGGAGTGAATGAATAGTAACATGTGAAGCATCTTTGAGTGTCCAAAAGAGCGCTATATAAAACCGATGCATTATTGTATGTTGTTAATCCAAAGCATCTAATAAGGATCCTGCAGGACTAAGAGTTTATTGGCTAAATGAGGGTAGTCCTCTCTTTTTAACTTTTTGTCTGAAAAAGATGATTAAAGATTTGAGAGTCCAAACAAATACAAAAATAGATTAATACCACTGTTTTAAAGCTCGATGTTGTTGTGGTTTAAAAGTTAGATACCCCAGCTTTAAGAAAAATGCTGCAACTAATGATACATGGATGAGATTTTAAGATTTTCTCAGATCACAAGGTTTAGAATATTGTCTCGGTATAATCTGCTTAAATACCAGACTAATGATACTGGAGTGTGTTTGGTTTCGCTTGTAATTAATTGACGTTGTTGCTGTCTGAAGGGTTCTGTTTGGAAAAGGTGCGTTTGAATCGTTCTCATCAATATTGCTGTTTGCTATTGGGTAGACTCTGCTTTATTTATCAAGATTCTCTTCACTGTGCCCATTTTAAGCAGGAGGGTTGACATTTGAGACTGAAATATGAACTGTTGCTAAAGATATGGTTTTAAATGAAATTGATGTGTCCACAATTTTCCTCCAATGTCCATGTTTACTGATGCACTGAACGCTAAGGATTATGAGTGTGTTTGTCGTGTAATTGGAGACAACAAAAGGAAATAAGCTCGAAGATCAAACACATGTTAATTTTATATGTTCAGCTACATGCACTCTCGCTTTCAAATAAACAAATGCTAATGATAACCTCACAGCGGATTTAAAGTAATCATACCAAAAGGCCATTATTCTTTAGAAAAAACTAAGTAATAAAAAGTGTGAGACGGCTTTAGCAGACGCTTTTATTGAACTTCTGTGTAAACTGGATTACACAGACAAAGATTTGTTACGCTACATTTATATTTCCATGGATACGAGTCGTAGACAATACCTAACCTGCTTCACAGAGGATAGGTCTTACACGGTGTGGAGAAAGCCGACATGGTGAGTGAGCCACATGAAAGAAGTTCATTTGTTTTAAAAAGTACCATTAAATCCTGGCATAGAAAAATTTTGGGCATTATTTTTTGTTCTTTTACTGGAGTCCAAATGTTCAGAACTTTGGATTAGAGCATATTTGGTAAACATTCAATGTGTGACTGTTAACCTTACACATTTCCTTTATGAATTCACGTCGTTAGGTTTTCTATTTTGCTACGATTTAAAGGTGGCTCAGCATTGATTAAGGCTTTTAATATGCCTCCGAGTTAATCCGATAGTATTAAGGCTTTGTTTTCCACCTAATGATGCAAATTTGTTCAAATAACGGCTTACATTAGCCTCCCCACGGAGCACCTAGTGGAGGAGCCCCGTCACCATGACAACTGTTGTACTACGGCAGTCGGAGTTTTCTCTTTGAACTGTGCTCCTCTCAGATCACCTCTGCACAGCTTATGTTTATTCAGACAGAAATGTGTCAAATGATTCTCACTCAGGAGTCCAGTCCACGCACACAGAGGCGAGTGTCACTCAGAAGTGGGGAGTTTGGATTCTCATAATATCACAGCCATAAGATCCATTATAAAAGTGAATGTAAAACCTGGGGACATGTGACTATGAATATTCTTGTATCAACTAGTAACTATATTATCATGCTGTTCACATTTAATTAATGATTACATCTTATTCATACATTCCTTTGCGTTGTATTGCTCAGGAAATGTAAAATGGCTGATATCAGTCATGAAATGCCATTCATGGAATGAGAGCGAGTTGTCAAACATCTGTGCAACACAACCGCATCATCTGCGTTTCACATATTCAGAAAAGCGCTGAACAAAGTAAGTAAAATAGGAGGTGTGTTGCAGTGGCATCTCAGGTGTAATAGAATTTGAGTTATTCCAACGTGCCCAAATCGTTCTCAAAGGGACTCCAGGTTTGTAAATGACTAAAACCTGATCTAGGCGAGGGAAGGAAAGTTTATTTATATTGGACAATTCGTACACAAAGAAACTCAAAGTGCTTTACAAAACAAGAAGATTCAAGATTTAGTTCATTTTCCATTTGCAGTAAAACCACATTGGAATAACTGTCCAAGACTACCCCAGTGTGCACCAGAGCTCTTCCCCCGGTGTCATTTTTTCCTGCACCCATGCGAAACAATCAAGAGTGAAGAAAAAATACCATGTATGCACAGCTAAACATAACTGGTTTCGACCTGGATTTGAACAATTTCAGAGTAGAAGCCTGTCTCACGTTTTCACGAAGTGATTGTTCCAGATTTCAGCTGCATAATTGTGAAACGCTGCCTCCTCATGTTTAGTTCTGACTCTGGGCACCAGCTGCAGCCCAGTCCCTGTGCTCCTCAAAGTCAGAGTTGGTTCATATGGCACTAACTTGTCTCTGATGTACTTTGGTGCGACGCCATGGAGAGACTTCACTGCATTAAAGTCTATTCTCTGAGCCACAGGAAGCGAGACCTGAGGACTGGACTAATGTGATTTGACTTTTTCTTTCTGGATCTAGTCAGGACTCCAGCTGCAGCATCAGAATATACTACAGCATATTAAAGTTGTCTTTTTTTTATTTAAAGGAAACATCACATGCAGTTGTATGATGTGAACATGCGACAGTAGCTCAGTTGGTAGAGCGTTGGCCTTTGAGCCAGAAGGTCGTGGGTTCAAGCCCCGCTCAAGACTTTCACCATCAACTCCCACTGTCGTTGTGTCCTTGGCAAGACACTTAACCTCTGGGAACACCAGCCACAGTGTGGCGGCTGCGGCTGTAAAGTGCCAAACTGCTGTTGTGTCCTTAAGCAAGACACTTCACCCCCATTGTCTAGAATGAGCCAGGGGCAACAGTGGCTCAGTTGGTAGAGCATTGGCCTATGAGCCGGAAGGTTGTGGGTTCGAGCCCACCATAAGACCTACTTCACGACTCCCACTGATGACTGTTGTTGTTGTGTCCTTGGGCAAGACACTTAACCCCACACTGAAAGTTCTCAGCTCCTGTGGACTCACCACCTGCAGGAGGATCAGTGAGGGGCTGGTGCTCTGTGAACTGGGCTCTGACTGCCACCCCCCCGACCCAGAAATGGATTAAGGGGAAGAAAATGGATGGATGGAGTCTGTCATGTAAAGCGTCTTTGAGTGTCCAAAAAAGCGCTATATAAAACTGATGCATTATTAACATGCAGATATACAAGCTAAACTATTGTTCAAATTGACTCTTAAAATCTGTTCAGAACAAGGATCACCAGGTGCACGGTCGCCCAAGGACCATGGAAGGCGCCCTCGAAGCATGGTATATAAATGATATTTGTCCCGGAGCCTGTTGACTGTTTCGTCTCCACCCCTTCGCTCAGTGATTGGCGTTTGTGAAAGAGCATAGTTATGCAGTCTATGTGACCGTCAAAGAGTCCAGTTTGTGAGTGAGGGAGACACTTGTCCACTGGATTAGTGGTAGTTGAGTTCTGAATCAGAATCCTTTTATTGCCATGTGACTAACAAGAAGTCACATACTAGGAAATTGCTTTGGCTCTCGGTGCAAACAAGTTAAAGCAGAATAAAAAGTTTACCCCAAGTTTAACCAGAATCATCGATAGTGACCATACAATAAGAGTATACACATAATACCCCTTTGGATTTATTAGACTCAAAATAGTATAAAATAGTTGGATTCAAGATGTTTAAAATCCTAATCCATGAAAATTAAAGACTGGGGGTATGTACAGTTCTCGATTTTTGACCCATCTGCTCAATGAACAATTCATTTCAATTCAACAATATGTTGCCTTGAGCCATCTGTTCATCTTGAGGTAGTCCTGGGATTTAAAAAGGTTGGTGATCCCTGGTATAGAGAAATATGTCGATGCTGTGAATAAACACAGGCGATATGATTCAACTCTTATACAAACCTCAAAGTTCAATTTATTCAAGAAGTTCCACAAATCCATCACTAACACCTCTGTGAAGTCTCGCCCCTAATACCCCCCATTCTTGCTCTTTTCGCAGCCTTCCCCTTAATTCTCTAAGCCTGTCTAAGTCTGGGCTCCCTCCCTGTCCACAAGCCTTCCTCCTACACACCAAATCTCCCTCCTGTTTACCTCTTCCACACTTTTCTTCATTACTTGCCCATTTGTCCTCCTTGTCTCATCTTGTCATGCATACGTCTCCACAAACTTCGTACCAAGCCTTTTAATCTCTTTGTTTCTAAGCAGCCTGTAAGCAAATGCAAAAAGGCAGTGTGGAGTATTTTTTTAGTATATTCTAGGTTTAAACATGCACCTGTCTTATTTAATATTCTGCGTAATCAAAGGAACAGAGTTGTGCACGAATAGTTATAGGTGATTAATGTGATGGATTTCCAGATGTCAACACAGGAAAAGAGTGAATAGAAAAATGACACGGCCATGTTTCCAGGAGATTCATTTCATAGTTCATCCGTCGTACAGGTTCCTCCACTTTTTGGACATCGCACTCAGTGTTGACACCTGATACAAATAGATTAATCCTGTATTATGGTTCATG